TGAACTCGTGCAGCTGAGCGATCTGTGAGCGAGCAAAGTGTACTACACTTGTCCATGTGAATGCTGATGATCGCTTTGAGTGGCCTGCCGTCTCCGGCTGGACATCATTGACGGTGTTTATTGAGGGCGCTGGTTTAGTCTCCGGCAACCAGAGGATTGCAAACAAGCTACCGATCTCGCAGGCTAGTCCCAGCATCCAAGGTATCCAGGCGTTCGATGACATCATCCAGGCACTTAAGGGAACAGCAACAATTTCTGACAGTAGTATACTTGCCGACAAGATGAAATAGGCATTCGAACTAAAAGGGGCCCTTGATTAGTGAAGGGACTGTGAACAGGGTTGGCCAGATTTCAGTACCGTTTCTCTATAGGGAAAACATCCGCGATGATGGTGAAAGCCACGGAGGTAGTTATCTGAGAACCACCACCAAGAATCTGAAATATTGGTGTAAACCAAATTGCTCGTGGTGGGATGGTCGCATGATACCAGGCTTTTATATCGGAGTTAGCCTGTCCCTTCACATTGCAAGGCAAGCTTTACCTACCGATAACTCTGATCGCCATCTCCTCCAAGACAGCCCCAGCCAGGCTCAGAAATAGGACTGGTATACGACCAACGCGGTCTGCCATGAGTCCATATGGAAGTGCCAGAACAATGCTTGGAAGCTGGTCAAAGGTGCTCATCCAACCTTTGAGCAATGCTAGCTCACCCTGCACATCAGCAGCCTTACAAGCCGAAGGAGATACTGAAGGGAGACCCCTGCCGGGGGTGTTATCAAAGACCTCCGGATGCAAGCGCTGGCAGATGTTCAACTCGTATATCTGAAGTTGGGGAGCAACGGAGATGTAGTTGCCGATATCGACAGTGACTGTTATGAGGCACGCAAGGAATAAGACCCGCTGGGCTCTACGCGTAACACTTTTTGGCTGTACAGGGGATTCATTGTGCCCAGATAAAAGAGAAGTTGTTTCAGAAGGTGTCTCTGGTTGATCAGAAGCAATGGTCATGATGAAGGAATCCTAGGCTTGAGTTGAATAGGAATGCCCCAAACTCAAAGGGCCAAGAGGCTGAGGGAAGAAATAAGAACCCCCTCCGCCTGAGAGATGACGATGAGAATGGGCTTTGATAAGCCTCGTTCCCCAAATGACGCTAAAGGGAACGGCCATCACGCTGGCCAAAGGATCCGACCTACCTTAGTAGGGGCTAGATGGATCGGTCGGCGACACATGGGCGCTTTTCCGGCGTCCGATAAGCGGGAACAAGAGTTTACCGCTGTTTACTGGCCCATTGTTGTGGTGGCCTAATGCAAGTGATATATTAACTGGATTGATTATTTAGCTAAACACTACTGGGCACTAGGCGCAGAACCGTCCAACGGTTCGAGGGTCAACAAAGAAACCAAATTCAGAATCCATGGATATCACGCTCGCCGAACACTTTTCTAAACGACCTGGTCGACAGTGAAGCAAAACCCTAAAACAAATATGAACATAAATACTGAGCATTGCGATTGTCACTCCATTCACAAGAAGCCTGCGTTGTTTCTCGAGCTTCCTGCCGGTTCCCTTTGCATACTGTGCAATTCTTCCCATTCCCGCTCCACGGCCCGGTTCAAGCTCACTCGGCGTGATTTGGAATCGAAGGGGATAGAGTAAAGTGAAGGGCTTTTCCGTGACGCCTGGCCGGCGCCAGCTATGTCTCCGTGCGTGTAGAAGCCGGTCTGATACCAAGGGCGTGAGCTCCCGCCGAGCTGCCGCTCAGTGGGCGGATCATTCTCTTTCCCCAATCCCGCTCCTTCGAATCGTTTCGGCTCATCCAAGCTCACTTCGCTGTAGAACCGAGGCAGAGGCGCGATCGTCTCAGAATAATTTTGAGCCAGGCTCGATTGGCTGGGCAATTTGCCCACCGGGCGGGGTGGCCCCATGTCTGAAGATTCTTCGGACAGGCTATGTAAATAAGCCGACTGACGATGGTCATCCGTGTAAATGGAGGCAGACATGGCTGTCGACCACGGCCGCTCATGGATCGAGTTCCGATATTCCTCAATGTAGTTGGAACTGGCTACTGTATCGGCTCGACTCGCTGTGCTTCGAGCTCTTTCTAGGGCCCGACAGCCCGATGATGCTCGACGGCCGAACTGACCTGCGAATAGCGGGTTGGACGAATTCCGACTTTTTGCGCGGCTGTGAAGAAATGCCTCTAGAGAGTCCGCTTCAGAGATGGTCGAGTCGTCAGGTTCCACTGTTCGGAGGCTCATTCGTCTGGAATAATCCCCACTCTCTCTCGTTCGAGGTGGCGGTCGTGGAAACAGCGGTGCTAGGTTTCCTACGTCACTCTCATCACTTCCGAACGAAGCCTGTGTGTTCTGCCAGGAAAGACGGACTACGCCATGTCCTGGAGGTCCAAAACCGCCGGCTCCATGTCCGGCACCACTGAGTCGGACTGGAAGCCCGGATGCTACTGTTGATATGCCACTCGACCGTTTGGAATATCTGCGCGATCGGGTAGTCGAATTCCGCTTTAGGGACCTCCTAGGCTGAATGGGCCGAAGGGGCTCTCGCCTCCTGGAACTAGTTGTGGTTGTTCTTCGGTGTAAGGGGGGGCTGTTCTGGAAAGACAGGCGTTTCGGCTGTGCGGGTGCGTCTTCCACTGGTTTGGCCTCTTCGGGTTCGGGCCCCTTGAGAGAAGCGAAACCTCCCCAATCGAATGTAGGATCGGAAAGGGTGTTTTCTTTGCCGGCTGCGTCTGGGGCTTGCTCGTTGCCTTTCGACGGGCTTGAATGCCATAATGGTAGCTCCAGTTTTGGGGGCTCAGATGATTGTGAAGGAATCCTGAGAATTCTCGGAGGCTCGCCATGGGCAGTTTCCTCAAAAGGCCGACCATGCGCAATACCTTCGCCATCTGGCTGAGTCGATAGCGTTTTCTCGGCTTCCTGTCCATCTTGAGGTTTCTTTGTGGCTGCTTTACGCTTGTGCCGCCAGCAGCAGAACAGAAGAAGGGCAGTGCTCAAAAACACAAACGGAACAACGACGGCGATAGCAATAATACCGGCCTTGCCTCCGCGAATGCTGTTCTTTGCATCGGAGGCTGTAGAGTTGGCTGTGCCTGGTCCATTTGTGGTCCCTTCCGACATCGCCTTGATTGTTAATTGCCGAGTGTCCTCTGCGGTACCCTCCCGGGCAGTGAGATTGATATGATAGCTTCCCGGACTGATGTCGGAGGGAACTTGTCCAAAGATCGTCTTGTTGTCACGATTGTAATGGAGCCAGGGAAGATCTTGCCCGAAGTCAACGTCTACCTGGACAGAATCGTTGGCCAAGACAGAGTCGTCAAGGACCAGCATAAAGAACTGCCCGATGATAGCATCGCATACATTTTGATCATTGCGAAAGAATTGAGTGAACTGTAGACTGACGATCAGCGTGGCTACGTCTTGAAATCTATCCGTCACGGTAATCGTGACATTGTTATCGGCGGCGTCTGAAGGGGGAGTGCCGCTCAGAGAAATAGTCTCCTCATCTAGAGACAACCAGTCTGGCGAATCCACCTTAATGTCGGCCAGATCTTTCTTCGTCGTTTCATGTCCATCTAGGGTGAGATTGCTGACAAACTGCGGACTAGTGAACGGCCGTTCTTTTGAGAGGAAGAATGTCTGGGTGCTCCGATTGAACGCCAAGATATGTGGGCTGATGGTCATCTCAAAGGTCATGGTAGCCGCGCTGAACCCAGTCACGTCCGAGGCTATCAGATTGAAGCTGAAGGTTTGAGGTCCACTAGCCGGTGTCGTGCCGGAAAAGCTGAGTGATGCCGGATCGAAAACAATCCACGAGGGTAGCGGTGCGTTGTCCGGAGATGTGCCATAGTAGGCCGTTGATGGGCGCGTGTTGGTGAACGTGTCCGGCCCAAAGGATAATGAGAAAGAGTCGCCAGTGTGTAGGAGGATGGTGTCTGGGGCGGAGGTTGGCCCCATGTCTTCGAGTTGTGAGAACAGCGGCTTTCCCGGTTGCGGTCCGTCGTCTGTTGTTACAATTAATGTGACTTGCATGTCCGCAGATTCCGAGCCATCTGAGGCCACCAGATCAAACGTCGGTGATCCTTGATCATCTTTCTGCGGTGTTCCGGATAGCGTACGGGATTGGCTGTCGACTTCGAGCCATGATGGCGCGTTTGAAAGCGAATATTGTGTGTTATCATCGCTGCCAGCAAAGGTACCCTGCGAGAAAACAAATTCGAATGGCTTCGATACCCGGGCTACCGGAGGTAGCTGTGCGTTAACAGGGTAGCTGGCCTGCAGACCTGCAACAACAGTCACCAGGATGCTGAGGAGAGCCAACGCAAAGAGCGCCATATCTCCTGAGCAAATGGAACGGTCCTGGCAAGTATTCGATAGACGTTCCTATAAATCTCTCAGACGTATCATCCAAGCACAGCTTGAAGTAAGATCTAGACCGGTATGAATCTGAAAAGGAAGAGAGAGGAGAAAAGAGACGAAAGAGATAGAAGGTGGCAGCTGAAAGAGCAAAAGTGGCGGAACAGCCTGCCCTTAGGGCAAAGAGTATGCTCCCAAGGGCCTCCGCGCCCAAGGGCCCATTGGCCACAGGAGAGGCGCGAAGCGTGTGGCCCCTTCTACAGAGCCATACCTGGATATGTTTGACGTCACTGAAGTATGGGAATGGTTAGAGATGGATGGTTCGCGGCGCGGGAGTTCAAGCTCACGTTGCGAATGCACGCGCCTGCAAGGGATGGCTTGCAGGAGTCCACACAGGAGCATAGCCGACCCAACCCCTCCCTCTCAGTAGCGTTCGTATTTCCCGAAGGCTTAAGGGAGGATATTTGACAGGCAAAGCCACCCTAGTTTCCAGCCAAAAGTACCAAGGAGGAGTCCAGTGGTTCCTTTCCACCGCGTGAGGCGGAGGGGTAGGGAGAACAGGCCTGTCTATCGAGGGGCCAAAGGCCATGCTTAGGCGCGACAGGGGCGGGTACAGGGCCCACGCTACAGCTAGAGATCGAGAACCATCTTGATCCCCGTACGCCCTGGCGCATAGTAGTCCGGGATCTCGTCACGCTCCTTGAAGCCATTGCGGACGTATAGGGATCTAGCAGGAGAGCGGGCTTTGTCAACCCATAGCTGAATCTGCTGACACCCCTCGCTCTGTAGACGAGCTCGAATATAGTTCATGAGCCGCATCCCGACACCCTGGCGGCGATAGGCTTCACCAACACAAACTTTGTGCAGCAGGGCAATTCCCTTCTGGCGGACGTAGACGGCATAGGCCAGCAAGGTTGGGCGGACATCACCCGGAGCCGATGGTGCACGGGTCACATACAGGACCTTCGTGTTGGGCTTCTTGCGCCAGAGTTCCTCACCGAAACTGAATGCCTCGTTAGCGGGGAAGGTCTTTTTCTCGACGCGCGAAATCTGGGCAAGAATCTCCAGGGCCTGGTCTTTCTTCAAGGAATGGATGTCTGAGATGGTCAGACTGGGAGTCAGATCCGCTGGCGGCATTCCGGAGAGCCCCTCCAGGATCTACATTCACGATCGTTTGGAGGATGGGGAGTTGACAGGGGAGGTTCCACAATTCTCCCGGATCATGAAGGATAATTCAATAGAGAGTTCTCTTCTGATTCAGTAGATGCCCAATATCGCGTGAGGGTTCAATGGCTCTCAAATCAATCCATTATTTGCCCGAGTTGCAAAGAAAGTAACTGGAAGGGTTTTTAGTAGAGGGAAAACCAATCACAGATACTCCTTCTCTCCCGTCTGGGTATAGTGCAAAAATACACTAGTCATCGCATTACCAAACTGACAATACAACGTTACATCTGGGTATTTGAGTAATATTGAGTTGGAAGATAGGAATACCTTCAACTATCTACACTCCAGTCTACTACCATCTGTGTTTTCATTTCTATCTATAGCTTATACTCTACACACACAAATACACTTTCCAGCATTCTATCTAGCGTTTCATCCTCTGTTCTTCTCTCTCACCTCTCTCTAACCATTCAAACAAAGACTTGACTCTCCCTCCCCGAAAATGCCCTCCCAAGCCGACGACAAACGCCAGGCCGCCCGCGAAGTTATTGACATTCTTCACGAGATTTCCACCCTTCTTGTACGTGACAACCCCCTCCTCCCCCGAGCTTCCTTTCATTCTTGTACCTGGCTTTTCTTTCTTTTGTTCTTCTATTATTTTTGTATTTTCACAAGCTTTTGCTTTCATCTACTGCGACCATCTTCATCTTACCTACCACCAACATGCCATACAGGATTAGACCTCCTGGGATCTAGTCGTGTCTGGTCTAGTCTGGTTCTCTGGTGTCATATCATCTGACAAGACACATGCACACTTGGTCAACTAACTGACTGGGCTGATTGACTAACTATATTCAACCCCTCTAGAACACTAATTTAGACCGCACGGAGCTGTCGCTTTGTGTGTCCTTGATTGAGAATGGGGTCAATCCGGATGCTCTCGCTGTAAGTTCTTGCCCATCTATCATGTGCTATGCCTTTACTTTGTTCCGGGAGGTTCTGGAAGCTGACGCTGTCTATCAGGCGGTCATTAAGGATCTAAGAAAAGAAGCTGGTGCGTCGCGCGGGTTCGCGACTGAGCAGCAGCAGGGTTTGCCGGAGTGAATTCTTTTTGGGGGTTGAGGTTGTGTGTTTAGTGCTCTAGGTATCTATGGCGTTTTCTGCTTTCTTTTCGTTTGGTTTTCCTTGTGATACCCGTTTTTCCTTATTAGATTGGAATATGATGGATTCTGCAATCTACTACTAATGGTGGTATTATTCACCGTATTCATGAAATCCTCGTTGGGGATTGAACGGTTTCTGGGACTTCCCACTAGTGCAGTCTTTGGTATCATTAACGTCGGCCATAGGGCCATTATCAGGGTAATGGTATGAAGAATACATGTAGCAGACAGGTGCTAGGGATGAAACGGCATGTGTCGGGGAGAAGGCAAAAAGGAAACTCTCATAATTACTAATCGATTACTGAACAAGTCCTACGACTTGCCAGCATTCTCGGCCTTGCTGCTGTCTTTCGACGCTTCGCTGGCCGGCCCAGCCTCAGCTGTGCTCTGCTCCTTAGTCTTGGCTTCCTTTTCTTTCTCATCGTCACTGTCCCCAAGACTGAACGGGTCATGTTCCCCGACCGGCGAAGGGTCAACAGTCGACAGAGGTTGCCACTTGCTCGACTTGCCTGTCGCGGGAGACGTACGTCTGACGGGCTCAGAGGCATCGTAGAGGTTGTCAATCTCGGTAGGTGGTCCCTCCTGGAAGGAGACCTTGCGTCGATCAGGGGAAGATGAAGAGGTTTTGAAAAGATCGGGATTGGCGAGAGGGCGCGGGGGGCGCGGAGGAGGAGCTGCGAACGGAGGTTAGCATTGGCTAGCGAATTTGATGCATGATCAGGGTCTGATCGGGGTAACCGTACCTTCCGCATCTCTCAGTTCAAGTGAGGAAAAGTCGTCGTTCAGGATGCGATGATCGGCATCGTAGCGTTCGCGATCGCCGCTCCGACGACCTAGGTCCCCGCTCCGTCTAGGTCTACCATAGTTCTCATCGGGCTGGCCTTGACCAGAAGGTCCGGCCTCAGGTGTTTCGCCATCGAGGCGTTTCTTCAGATTCTGGACCCACGAGTTGACCTTCGTCTGGGTATCCAAGAATCCTTTGCGAAGGTTCTCACGGATCACAGGGAGATCATCTATACAGGCCATCGTTTAGCAACCAAGATGACGTAGAAAAGATCCATATCACTGACCATCGAAAAAGCTGTATTCTTTTTCCTCCGATCCATCGCTTCCTCTTCGTGGCCGCTGCTGTGGGTACTCGTTGTCCCAACGGGGTTGGCGCGCAGGACGGTTGTAGTGCTCGGCCAGCTGACGGGCATACATCTCATCTGCTTCTAGCTGCCTCTGCGCAGCAGTTGGGCGTGGTGGCTTCGGGGGCGGCGCATCTTGTTCGGCAGCACTGGGATCCGTCATGCCTAGAGGGACTTGTTAGTGACCGCGCATAGCAGTGCTTTCCGTCGCAGTTCACACGTACTAAGCAAAGCATGGAATGACCGTTCCACATCCCAGTTACTGGCCACCAACACTGCTTTGATCACCGATGCCTCGATAGAGGGGAATGCTTCCTTGAGGGTATTCTCGGCCTCTTGCCGGGGGCTCAATGGGCGGGGTGGCTTAGGCGGGGCAGCTTCCGCAGCGCCCTGCTGAGCAGGGGCTGTTGACGGTGCTGCAGTGACACCGGTTTCCTGAGGTTCATCATCAAAATCTAGAGGGCGCGCGGTAGTCGGCGACTCGGGTTTGGGACTGAGTGGTCCAGTGGAGAGTTTATTGGGGGTCTGGCTGCTAGTGAGTGGCCGGCATGAGGTATAAGGAGCGGATATAGAGGACAACCTACAGTCTTGTCTTCTTCCGACATCGTGAGAGCAACTTAGGCAGCGTTGGAATCGCAAACTTGCTATCTAGAAGGTGGAGAAGAATGCCAAGGTTTCGCAGGCCTTGAGGGTATTTATGCGACCAGGAAATTTGCCCAACAGGCAGAAAGCAAGCTGGGGATGATGCGATTGGAGCTTCGGAGCCTCTCAGCCCCCTTCGCACTTCCGATGCCCGCGGAGTGACGTTGCGCCACGTGATAGTCCCGTGCTTAGGTAAGCACTGCTGCAGGTGCTCCAACAATATCTACTTCGTCAAGTAGAATCTGGATACAATTCTGGCGGTGCAAGGCTTGCCCAGCCGACCCGGAAATTGCTATAACAATATGTTTCGCTGGGGTCTTCCAATGTACTCATAGCTTGCCTCTAGTTGGAACACTGGTGCTGCAAATCACCTCCTAGTTCCATTCTCACTTAAGGCCCAATCGCAATGGCTTCCGAGCTGGATCTGTCCACCAGCTTTATCCCGGCTCTATACAAGCCGGCCGCATTGCTTCCAATCGCAAGACACAAGCAGAGTTTATTGTACCTGGTTGAGACGTATCCGGTGACCATCGTTGTTGGACAAACAGGAAGTGGGAAAACGACCCAACTACCCCAGTATCTCGACCAAGCAGGGTGGTGTGCAGATGGAAAGGCTATAGCAGTGACACAGGTATGCCTTTCCCTTCTGACTGACTCGGATGCAAGAAGAAAAGCTAATATCGCCCAGCCACGTCGGGTGGCTGCTACCACAGTGGCAGCTAGGGTAGCTGAGGAAATGCGCTGCAAGCTCGGCGAAGACGTGGGCTACTCGATTCGTTTTGAGGACTTGACCTCGGCTTCCACCAGGATAAAGTTCCTTACAGATGGAATGTTGCTTAGGGAGGCACTCGTAGATCCTCTGCTGTCACGGTACTCTGTTATCATGGTGGATGAAGCTCATGAGCGATCCCTCAGTACCGATATCCTCCTAGGTATCCTGAAAAAGATCATGAAACGACGGCCGGAGCTTAGGATTGTGGTCAGTAGCGCAACCTTGCAAGCAGAAGATTTTCTGCGATTCTTCGCTGGCGAGGAATTTGACAGCAGTCCGGAATCCGGTGAAATTGGTGGCAAGGTGGGAAGGATCATCAGTTTGGAAGGTCGCATGTATCCGGTGGACATGCTCTTTCTCGAGAACCCTGCAGAGGATTATGTCGAGCGCGCAGTCAAAACCGTGTTCGACATCCATCTTCAAGAGGCGGAAGGCGATATTCTGGTGTTTTTGACTGGCCGGGAGGAGATTGACACTACGGTGCAGATGATTGCCGAACGTGCCGCAACACTGCATCCCAAGGCACAGAGTATACTTCCGTTACCACTTTACTCTGGTCTCACAACAGATCAGCAAATGTACGTGTTTGAACCGACACCAGAGAACACCCGCAAAGTCATCGTGTCGACCAACATCGCCGAAGCATCTGTTACTATTAACGGGATTGTGTATGTCATCGACTGCGGCTTCGCCAAATTAAGAGCTTATAACCCCCAGACTGGCATAGAAACACTGACCGCAGTGCCCATATCAAAAGCAGCGGCTGTTCAGCGTGCTGGCCGAGCTGGGCGTACCAAACCCGGGAAGTGCTTCCGCCTCTACACGCAGCAGGCCTATGAGCAACTTCCAGAGGCCACCGTTCCGGAGATTCAGCGGTCAAACCTAGCGCCTGTAATCATGCAGCTCAAGGCTTTGGGTATCGACAACATCGTCCGATTCGACTTTTTGACCTCCCCTCCTACAGAGCTTGTTATTCGCGCATTCGAGCTGCTGTACTCTCTCGGGGCAGTTGACGACTATGCCAAACTCACAAAGCCTCATGGGATGCGGATGGCAGAGCTGGCAGTCGATCCTATGATGGCAAAGGTGCTGCTATCAGCGCCATCTTTTAACTGTCTAAGCGAGATCCTCTCTATTGCCGCCATGGTGAGTCTTCAAGGGACCGTATGGGTCCAGCACGAAGGCGACAGAAAGTCATCGGAGAGCCACCGCAGAAAGTTCGCAGTCGAAGAGGGTGATCATTTAACGTATCTTAACGTGTATCAAGCGTTCATCACCAAAGGAAAGAAGGACTCCAAGTGGTGTCGTGACAATCTTCTAAACTTTCGGTCTTTGCAACGGGCTGTGAGCATTCGCGCCCAGTTGAAGCGATATCTGGAGCGCTTTGGAATCCAAGTCGATGAGACTCTCTCTGCAAGGTCTCGGCAAGAAGACCCAAGTAAGCTTGCGGAACAGATTCGTAGGTGCCTTACTACGGGCTATTTCGCACACGCTGCGAAGATGCAGCCCGATGGCACCTTTAAGACGGTGAGCGGAGGCCTGACTCTCCATGCTCACCCGAGTTCATTGATGTTTGTATGTTGGCAATCTAGGATTTGTAGTATCTTTGCGATCATGTGCTAATTGGACTGTATAGAATCGGAAAGCCGACTGGGTCATCTTCCATGAGATCTTACAGACCGGCGAGAAGACCTTCATCCGTGATGTGACTAAAATCGAGAAGAATTACCTCCTCGAATATGCCCCAAACTATTACCAGGTTTATTAGGCTATAGGAGATAGAGAGTATCTTGATGGGATACATTTGATGGCGAATCCACTAGCGTTTCTTATTGACGACATGCACTGCCTGTACTATACCCGCCAGCGTTGACCTCTATAGAATCATAGAGATTCAGATTCTTTCTTTCTGCTTTAGTCGTAAATTTATTATATAACAGTAAACTTTGCTATTCCAGCAGACCACAAGCAGTAACAAACAATTACAGATGTAGAGGGTACAGGGGGTGGTGAATGAGAGGAGTCCTCGGCTGCCTGGATCAAGATGTGCATCATTTCACAGCTGCCAGACGGGCCTTTCGCCGAAGAACAACAACGCTGGCTCATCTTTCTCTCTTTCGACTGGAAAGTCAACCATCCTTCCAACCTCGGACATACTGCAGCCCACAAATTTGCAATCCTCCATAAATCAGATACTTGATTGAATTTGGATCAGCTTTTTCTAGATCCCCAAGTTGATCATGTCAGGTCATCACCATCATCACGATCATGGCGGCCATTGCCACGGAGAAGATGGCCATGATCACTCCAACGACATCACCCCTGCCATCCAATCCCTCCTCTACTCCCAAATCCAATTTGATGCGATCACTACATTGAACGGTAGGCAACCCGCGAGGGAACCCCTTCTGCATGTGGTGCTGTACCTGCTAACTGGGGTCCTACCTGCAGAGGCCAGTCCCAAGTCTGGCGCCGCGATTGTGAAAAAGACATGGTCTGAAAGACTGAACGATGAACCGGAGCTGGAAAGCGACGCGGATGAACAGTTGCTGATGTATATTCCGTATGTTATCCTTCCCATTTTCCGTTGTGGTTTTCGATCGGATTTGCTGTTTGTGATATGGTTTTTACCCCGCCAAATGCCCCTCATCTCAAGTTCCATGTCATGGATTCAATATGCACCATACTATTGCACGACAACCGCACTGATTATCCACTAACCAACCATTTAACTTCTAGATTCACCGGCCAAGTCAAAGTCCACTCCCTCCTCATCTACACTGCCCCCTCCCCATCCGCCCCGAAGACCCTAAAGCTATTCAAGAACCGCGACGACCTAGACTTCGGAACAGCCTCGGACCTAAAGCCCACGCAGACAGTCGAAATACCCCAACCTGTGCCGGGTGCAGATGTTTTCGAGTTGCCGCTGAACCGGGCACATTGGAACGCGACTACTTCCATCACTCTCTTCTTCGAGGATAATTGGAGCGATGGGGAAGAAGACGTCACCAAGGTCGGGTATATTGGTTTCAAGGGACAGTTCATGGCATTGAATAGGGAGCCGATCAGTTTCTTGTATGAGGCGGCTGCGAACCCAGGTGATCATGTTGCTATTCAGGGTGTCAATGGAGTGGGGAGCAGGATTCTGTGAGCGGAGGTGATAAGGGATAGGATTTCAGTGTTTGTTCGAACATGGATGGTCAAATGCTGGCCTGGGATGTACGAGGTCTGTGAGAGACTGAAATGGATGATCAGAAACTACGGGTACTGCCTTGGGTATTGAGCTGGGCTCTATCAAGATAATGCACGCCAATTCATGTTTCAACGATCTAGTTGCTAGCATTCAAATAGCGAAACATATCTAACAATGCTATACTATACTTGAAAGTCCTGAAACCACCAACGCCGGCAATGCTAAAGTCATATAAAGAGATCATATGGACGGCAGTCTCAAGCAGGAATCGCGGTCCGCTCCTCGAAATGGGCCTCTTCTTCCACCGCATGCTCGTCCTCCTTGACTCCCCCCACATGCTCTGGGAGTGTAGAGCTGGGCGCATTTGGCAGGACAACCGGACCCTGCGTATCCCGCTGCAAAGCCTCGAGTTCCTCTTCGACCTCATCCTCATCCTGAGTGGACAAGCGTCCAGCAAGCATCTCGCTGATTTCCTGTACAAACCACCACCGACTCGTCAGCATCCAGTCCAAAATACCCTTCTCAGATAACCATTGACAATAAGCTCGTACCTCTTGATAGGCTCTCGCTTCCTCCGTCTCGCCCATCAGTTTCTCCACCCCCTCAAGACCACCCATCTCCTTGTTAATGGTCTGCAGAACCTTGGTCCCTTGCTGCAAGCCGAACAGAACATCCTTCTGAACCAGTGCAAACTCAATCTGACCCGTAAGCTGTTCGAGCTGCTCGAGTTGTTTATCGGTCTTATCGAGCAGCGACTCCTGGTACTTCTTGCGACGCAGGGCAAGCAGGGCGCGCTTGCGGTCATCCCGGGCGAGACATTGTTTCGCAATTTCAGTTTCGCGGTCTGTCAAGACAGTAATCCGCTTCTGATACTGGTGAAGTTTGTCTCGCTGGTTCTTGAGGTCGAGGATTGCCCTGAGCGTTACGAGCGTTAGTTTATCGGTCGGAGACGGGGGGATGGGGCTCGTGACCCGTGCCAAACGGCGCTGATGGAGACAGCAACAAGACGAAACACATTGGAATGATATGGATAGGCTCACCGGTCCTGAGCAGAGATCTTGTGGGTGCTATTTGTATTTCCCATTGTCAGCGCATGTTGCTTTGTTTCCGAGGATGCTTGAGGGGAAGCAGTCAGAAACCGGCGAAGATGGATGATAGATAGTGTGTGCAGTGAGTGAGTCCACCGCAGATGACGTCCGTTATCGTCCTATTACCACATCGGGACTAGTGTAATACTCTCGGAAATCTGCCGGTGTTTTCAGGTGAATTTGGGGCTCTCCGCCGGTGCATCAATTCTCCGGGTCTCTAAAATTGTGGGAATTCATCGCCAGCGGGGATCTTTATCACCCCCGATTATCGCATTTATAGCCCCGGCTTTGATTCAAGATGCGTCATGGTGGCAGGCCGACGCTGAGGCAGGGCCTCGACAAGGATGTAAGTGCTGCGACTCGTCCCTCGGCTTATATCAATGCGATCATCGCTAACTCGCTATCCACAGATCTACCAGGTCGTGCGCAAAATCATCGACGACAATGCAGAGAATGCTCAATTCCGTCTGTCGGTGTCTAGCATTTACGATACCATCAAGCGGTCCAATTCCAGCCTGAACAGGAAGCCGAAGCGTATTCTCGAAGACAGCATCGAGCGCGTGGTGGAAGTGCTGAAAGCCGACGTCCTCGGAGAAGATGAGAACGACTCCATAGACGGCGACTTTGAGGGGCTGGAGGAGCCACCGGCACCGGTATGCGACATCGCGCGCCGCTTCATGGGATAACTGTCTTCAGAAGCAGCTTCAAACCTGGCTAGCAATTGGGAGGTAGCTGACGGGAGCAGGAATCCAACAGCCTCAACAAGAGCCTGGTTGGTATGTGGAATACAACCAACACCTCGAAGCCCTCGAAACAGAGCGAATCCAACACTGCCGAGTCAACAGCACCACCTACTACCTCTACGAAGAAACGGCACCATGGTGGTGATTCGCAGTCCTCCAAGCGCCGCAAGGCCGAGGCCGCAGTCGACCGTTCTCCTCCCACACATGTCAGTCTGGCCGATCTGGGTGGATTGGACGATGTGGTGCAGGAGCTAGGGGATCTCGTCATCCTGCCCATGACGCGCCCGCAAGTCTACATGTCCTCCAATGTCCAGCCTCCTCGCGGTGTTCTGCTACATGGTCCGCCAGGTTGCGGTAAAACCATGATCGCAAACGCATTCGCCGCCGAATTGGGCGTCCCCTTCATCTCCATATCCGCCCCATCCGTCATCTCCGGCATGTCAGGAGAGTCCGAGAAGGCTCTCCGAGAATACTTCGAAGAAGCCAAGCGCATCGCGCCCTGCTTAATATTCATCGACGAAATCGACGCCATCACCCCCAAGCGTGAAAGCGCCCAACGAGAAATGGAGAAGCGCATCGTCGCTCAACTCCTCACCTGCATGGACGATCTGGCTCTCGAAAAGACCGACGGAAAGCCCGTTATCGTCCTGGCAGCCACTAACCGTCCCGACAGCTTGGACGCTGCTCTGCGTCGCGGAGGCCGTTTCGACAAGGAAATCAACATGACCGTCCCCTCGGAGCCCGTCCGCGAGCAGATCCTGCGCGCCCTAACCCGCAAGATGCGTCTCGCTGACGACCTCGACTTCAAAACCCTCGCCAAGCGCACCCCCGGATTTGTCGGCGCTGATCTGAACGACCTCGTCGCCACCGCCGGCGCTGCCGCCATCAAACGCTACCTGGAACTGCTCAAATCCAACAGCGGCGAGGAAATGGAAATGGAGATTGAAGGCGAAGCCGACATCATCAGCCCTAAAGTCAAAGAACTCCGCCGCCTCATCACCCACGCCAAAGAAACCCCCATCGGCGACGAAACCCAAACCGTCCTCGTCTCCAACGCCGACTTCTTCACAGCCCTCCCTAAGATCCAGCCCTCCTCCAAGCGCGAAGGCTTCGCCACCATTCCCGATACTACCTGGGCCGACATCGGCGCCCTCGGAGGCATCCGCGACGAACTGTCCACCGCCATCGTCGAACCCATCAAGAACCCCGAAATTTACGCCAATGTCGGCATCACCGCGCCCACCGGCGTCCTTCTCTGGGGTCCCCCCGGTTGCGGTAAAACACTCCTCGCCAAAGCCGTGGCCAACGAGTCCCGCGCCAACTTCATCAGCGTCAAGGGTCCTGAACTCCTCAACAAATTCGTCGGTGAATCCGAACGCGCCGTCCGCCAGGTCTTCGTCCGCGCCCGCTCCTCCGTCCCTTGCGTCATCTTCTTTGATGAACTCGACGCCCTCGTCCCCCGTCGTGACGATACCCTCTCTGAAGCCTCCGCCCGTGTCGTCAACACCCTTCTCACTGAACTCGACGGCCTCGGCAGCAGCCGTCAAGGTCTCTACGTCATCGCGGCCACTAACCGGCCCGATATCATCGACCCGGCTATGCTGCGCCCCGGTCGTCTGGAGACCCTTCTCTTCGTTAACTTGCCCAGTCCGCTCGAGCGTGTCGAGATCCTGCAGACCCTCGTCAGGAACTTGCCTATCGAGTTCAATGAGGATCTGCGCAGACTTGCCGAGGAGTGCGAGGGCTTCAGTGGTGCTGATTTGGGTAGTTTGCTTCGTCGCGCCGGTTACTCGGCTATTAAGAGACGTGATAGCATCAAGTTCGAGGACTTTGTCGCTGCCAAGGCGTTTATTCGGCCTAGTGTTACGGATTTGAAAAAGTATGAGAAGTTGAGGAGGGATTGGAGTGGTGGCGTGGTGTAATTAATAATGATTAGAGTGTTGGTTGGTGTGTGTGTATATACATCGATGTACTTTGGAATTTGTTTCGTTTACTATTTCTCTTCTGTGTGGTTCTGTCATTGTGTGCATATATAGAGTGTGGATGGGGTCAAAAAGTCATTTGAATCGTTTGGCTGCGAGGGTAGGATATAGGTGGATTGATTGACTGATGAATAATGATAGATCTTCTTTGATGGATGTTCAATTGACACGGCCACTGGTTACTTCACTACTCAGTACTAAAGTACTACTGGCATGAACTACGACAGCAAACAGCCCAATGAAGGAGTGAATGAACTTTTGGATATCAGAAACTCTAAATTTAGTTATGCACACACCAAAACGCCTCCCATGTAAAATTTAACAGGATACACACAAGGAAGACCAATTATAATTACATCCATAACCGGCAGGTTCCATCCGCACCGGCACTGACACACCAGGCTTCGCGCGGGTGCCAGTCAAGATCCATGACACCGAGCTCGCCGGTGATCTTGTGGCCCTTAAGAACCTTGAGGGGGACAATGCTGGCATTGCTGAGCATGTCACCCGTGACACTGCCGTGGAAGATCTGGAGCGAGCCGTCGTCACTGGCATCCGCGAACAGAGGGTAGCGGCCACTGGGGTGGAACTTGACGGCACGAATGGCCTTGCGGTGGTAACGGAGAGTCTTGTAGGGGCGCTGGGAGAGTTCGAGATCGTGCCACAGCAGACGGCGGTCGTAGGATCCGACAATGAGGTTGTCTCCTCCCGAAGCGGTGGAGGAGGTCGGGTGGATGTCGAAGGAGGAGATCCAGCGGGCACCGGGCTGAATGATCTTGACGAGCAGTTGGCGGGAGAGATCGTAAGCACGAACGGTGCGCTGGTTGGCGACGAAGAGGATGGGCTTCGAGGGGTGGAAGTGCGCGGTCTGGGGCGGGCCACCACCCTTGATGCGTCGGCTGAAGGGGTACTGGGTCAAGTGCTTGGAAAGAGTGTGGATGGCAATGGCCATGGATGCCGGGGTAGAAGAGCCCGGGCAGACGGTAACAAAGTAGTCACCGCGGCGATGCCACGAGATAGACTTGGCCACGTAGCGGAGGGGAATGACGGCGCACACGCCATTGTCGGCGAGAGCGGCCGAGGGACGCACCCACTGGGGAGGCGTGGTCTTCTTGCCTTCTTCCGAGGCCTTCGGGACAGGCTTCGAAGCGGCGTATCCCCAGCCGGCGTCGAGAAGATCCAAGCTGGCTTGCTCGAGTTCGGGGTCGAGGATCGGGGGCACGATGAGGTAGATATCGTCACCCGCGGCGGCAGCCAGGACCACAGCATCCTTGCTGGGCCTCCAGCGGACAACGTTGACAGGATCCTCTTCACCAACCTTGACGCTATACAGCTGGCGACCGGTGAGCAATTCCCAAACGCGGACGGTACCATCGTCACCACCAGTAGCGAGCCACACGCCCGTAGGATCGACGGCAAGGGAACGAACACGGCCCTTGTGACCCCGGAACACCGTAGCGCAGACAGACGGGAACGGCTTCAACTCTTCAGGGCTGGGCAGCTTGGGGAGCAGACTCTCCGGGTCGATGTTGAGCTTGCTGCGGCGAACTCTAGGAGCCAAGTAAAGATCCAAGCAACGCTCGAACTTCTCCTTGACAAACTCGCCGTAACCAGGGACCTTGCGGAGAGAGCCAAAGTCGGTAGGGAGATATTCCCGCTCCCGGTCTTCGGGGTCGGCCTCCTGCCAGGCCTTGCGCTCCTTGTTGTCGGGGAGATACTCCGGAGGCGGGTGGTAACTCTCCTCGTAGCCTGGCGGGGGGAGCTTGGGGGCAGGAACGTGCATGGGGTGATCCGGACGCTCGGCCTCGTCCGCCCACAGGTCATAATTGATAAGCTCGAGGTCCTCCTCCTTCTCTTCCGATGGGGGCTTGTAAGGCAGGATGCGACCTTCGCGGATGGCCTTCACAATCTTCATGACCCGCTTGGCTTCGTGCTTCGACGGAACGAAGCGACGCTTGGGTTCCGGAGCAGCACTAAGGGGCATGATTTCCTGCTTGTTACTGAACCATTCCATCAAAGGCTCGTACGGGTTGTAGCCCTCCTCGGGAATTTCGTTCATCTGCACCTTGCGCAGCAGCTCCAGCTCATCCTGGCTCAACTCCAGAGGCTTACCGGTCGAGGGATCAGTCAGACCGGTGAAGCCCTTGGGGATCTCAATGCTGTCAAGCAAAGCATCCAGAGCCTCACCAGTGGCAGGACGCATGATCTTCTTTCCATTGATGTCGTAGCCAATGTGGGGGTACTGGTCGTAGAAAGACAACGGAATGTTACCGATCGTGTTCGCATTCTCTTCGACGTCAGAGTAATCGGAGTTGTCGTCTGGGTTGATCTCGTCGTAGATGTAACGGTCGTTTCCATTGGCATCCTTTTCAATGCGGAAGTTGGGTTGCTCTTCCTCGCTGGAGCTCTCGTCGTCGTTCGTAGGTACTTCTAGGTCCGCAGCTGATGTGCCGGACTTCTTGAGAGGCGCCTCTCCGTCGGAGGGGATCTCATCGCTGTCCAACTCCTCCTCTTCATCGTCATCCTCATCGGAGCTGAAGTCGTCCACCAATTCAACTTCGGAATCCTCCTCGTCGCTCGATAGGTCGTTGGCATCGTCCGAAAGCGCACCATCAATGTCGCCGACGTTCAATTCGTCGCCAGAGAACACACCGGCCTCCTCCTCGACATCTTTGGTGACAGCCTTGCGCTTCTTGGAAACCTTTGCAGCACTCATGGCGACGAAGGAACACTCCGAGTGGGCGGAATCTTTTGCAGGGTCGAAGCACTGCTGGAAGGAATTCGAAGCTCGACTTTTTCGACTTTTTTTTTGCTGCCCTCGATTTGCGGAAAGGCATACCGCCCACGTGACATACCGCCTCTCTTATCGATCCCCTCGCTAGCCTCAGGCATGCAACTTTATCGATAACAAGCGATCATTGTTATGAAGTTCAAGATCGACCACCTAATATTCACTTTCTCTTCGTGGCTCGGTTGAAAGCCGGTCTTAATCCACGCTGGTTCTGCAGCATGATGCATCAGCAATTTTCTCTCGAATGCAGCCAACCACACCCCGTCTACTCAAGCAATGCTGCCATGAGTGACGCCGCAACAGGCGTGGCGCGGGGGAAAAGACATGCGGCCTGTGATGAGTGCAGTATGTCTGACTTCTTGTCAAGATGAAGTACAAATTGTCTGGTGCTAATCATGTTTCATCATTCTAGGAAGTCGCAAGCTGAAATGCTCAGGGGAAGCTACTGGCTGCACTCGCTGCATTAAACAAAGTCTCACTTGCCACTACTCTCTACAGAAACAGATGGGACGGCCCCCAAAGAAGCGAATGCGAGAAGATGAGGATCCATCACCACCTTTCGGCCTACCAGGGAATGAGCCATGGACCAGTGAATCGGATTTTGCTTCCCTTGGACCGTCGACCATAGAGTCAACCGAGACCGCCCCATCAGACTACACCGGGCAGATAAACTTCTTTACGGACGCAAATAGCAACATTGACGCTGGGCAATTCCTCCTCAACAAGCCGATAGATGCAGCGCCAACGACAGTCAGTCCATGGCCTGATTTCTCCAATGTCTCTTCATCAGCAGCCAATCTCTACACTCTCCCACCAGATCTATCCTTACTCCAGCAGTCCTCTACCGCCTCGTCTCCAAACTCAGAGGAATCTGACCGCCAATGCCCTTGTCTATCCTGCCTTTACCTCTGTCTCAGCCACCTGTCTTCTCTCGCCCCATTCCCCCTCTCCCACCACAACCTATGCTCCCTCTACATCGCATCCAGAACCGCCCGAGCCGTCATCCGCTGCGAGATCTGTCCCCTCCGCTTCACAACAGGCATGCAAAATGTCACCTTCACCGGCACCTTATTGACCGTCATCGCCGATACCTGGCTACGCATATCCAAAGTTAACGCCGTCGACTTCGGCCGACAATCGGCACCACCGGCTTACGCCGCAGCAATAGATGCCTCCCCCAACCCTGCAAAAGGCTGGGAGGACTGGCTACGGCAAACCGTGCGATACCGTGTAATAGGAGGGCCGTGTGATCCGGCCGGCATGCCCCCGGGTGCAGATGATGGACCTAGCCTGCTTAGCCTTATAGAGGAAATGGAGGAGCGGCAACGGCGTTGGCATCGTTCACACCCGCTGCCTGTCGAGGAACGTCATCTTCCTATACCGAAGACGGACGGGTCCAAGGAGGAGGAATCGTGCCATGAGCGGGATGCGCTGTGCATGCGCATCATTCAGAGCGCGCGCAATGTCATTCCAAAGTTTGGTTTCCAGCCAAGTGATTATCCGGATGATGCGGTTGCCAAGAAGACCGCTTGATCTGGGACTGCCGGCATCTTCGATATAGAGGCTTGTGTTGATGATAATGTGGCTATATGCGGGAAGCCGTGTCTATATTAATACCGGGGTTTGAATTAACGACACCTAAACTTACGATTTTACGCCAATTACTATATATACTCCGATCTACTTTGAGAGGGACTAGTCTTGGTGATATATTAGCAATGTAGATTGATCTAGCGGCACGGTATGTACAAATTTGCATATCACCGAGTCCATAGGGTAATTCTTAATTTTGTAAAATTCTGGTATGATATCAAGAATATAACATTGGATGGGTGGTGACGACCATGCATGCGCCCGAAGAATGACTCCCAGAATGGATGATACAGTTACAATGTCATTAGAAGAAGCAAGTAAGAATGTCAATGTGGCTTAGAAATGAAGAGCCATTACTCTTCATCATCATCATCCACAATGTAGCGGTTCTTCTTCCGGGTTGGAGGAGTGCCTCTCTCAGGAGCCTCAGGGGAGGCTCGTTTCTGTCGGGGTCTGGCGGGCGGAAGGTCTTCCTCCTCGCCCTCGGCGTCCTCGTCTTCATCCTCCAGGACATCCTCTTCGTCGTCATCGTCGACGATTTCCGGTTCTTCGTCACTGCCCACCAGGAAACCATCGTCTTCGTCATATTCGTCCTCGCGAGTGCGTCCGCGACGGTCGTATTCTTCTTCGTCGTCGGTGTAGATCTCGCCCCGACGATTTGGCCTGCGAGGCTTCTTCGCGCGAGGCCGGGTCGTCAGGAGACCGTCGTCATCTTCCAAGCCACCCACTGTGAGACCAGCACCTCCGGTGCGCTGGGTGAATCCGTGACGACGGCCACGGTCCATCTCGCGGTCCTGAAGCTGCTGGCGGCGGCGAGCAGCCTTCAGCTTCTCACGCTCAGCCATTTCTGCCTGCCGCTTGGCAAGTTCGGGGTCCTCCTTGACTTCGATAACCGGCGCCGATCCGTCCAGCGTCTTCTTGCCTCCCCGGGCTGCTGCTGCTAGCGACTCCTGGAGACGCTGCACGGCATCGTCGGTTTCCACAGTTGTCGGGTAAACCGTGAGTCCATGGGTGAGGTGGGAAGTCAGCCGGAAGACAGAAGAGGCTTCTGCGGCTGCTCCCAGATAAACGTGGGAATCTAACTTGGTGTCATATTCGCCGGACTTGCTGAGAGGCGCCAGTGGCTTAGTTGAGATACGGTACTGCTCCTTTGGCGCGGACGCCAGCTGCAATGTCATGGAACCATCCTCCCAGCGGATGATACGAGCATTCGATTGCAGGAGCGACTCGTCCTGCGGGTCATGGCGCCAGCAGAGCGACGTGGCGGCTGTCGTAAATGGAGGTGGAACATAGGTCTCTGGGTTAAACTCTTCCGTTTCAACGGACAGGAAAGGGGGGACTGGCATTGTGTAGACCTAGGGTTGGCAATGGTGAGCTTGGCAACATGCAGAAGATGGATGCTTGTGAAACATACCTCGCCGTTTGAAGTCACAGGCTCCGGCGCCCGGCTCAAGCTCATGTCCATGATATTCACCGTTTCCTCATAGTCTGCGCCTCCTTCATAGTCCATGGGCTCTCCAACCCGATCATTGCGATCCACGTCATCTCCCGAATCGAGTTCTTCGTCGTCTAGCGTCCGCTGGGGTCGCCTGTATGACAGTCAATGCATGTCTTCTCACTAACCGGGACAATTTATCATACTCATTATCATCGCCAAACCCCCCATCAGAAGCGTCCGAACCAAACAGATCCGCATCATCGTAGCCGTTCGCGTTGCCCGCATCCGAGCCCGCGGGACTCTGGCTTCGCGCCGGAGCTTCACTGTGTTCACTTGCAGACGGACTGCCTGGTTGACCGGCACCTGCACTGCGCCCCGGACGGCGAACAACGTCCTCGTCTGAAGAAGACATTATGGGTGGTCAAGTGGAGCTCCGACAGGTGTGCGGCCAATGCTGAAGATGAAATGCGTTGGTGCTAGGGACGGCTGGAGAGTTCGGAGAAATTGTTTCTTGATAAGGCTTTGTAAAAAAGAAGACTGACTGGAGGGTAGAAAAAGACTAACACCAGGGCCAAAGTGGTATCAATGGGGCTGGGCGACGCTGGGAGCTGCGCAGTAGCAGTTAATTATTACTAGTTCACACTCATAAACTATGAGTTAGTGAAAGTAACAGAGTCCCTCGGCGAAGATAATAATCCCTTCCGGGTCCAGGAGGGACTAGCGCAGCGGGCAGGTGGACGGGCCAGACCGAATCAGTCGAATTCCAGATCGGGACAACCCCAAACTCATTCATTCATTCATTCATTCCTCCTCACTTCCTCCTCAACTTTCTCTCTGTTAACTCCGTTGTGGATTGATTTCCCCTCCCCCCTCCCTCTCTTCAATCCCCTCGGGTCTCTCACTGAACTATTCTGAATTGCCTGATCGCCAGATTAGTCAGTGTTCCCGCACACGTGTGTTCCGTTCATCATGGCGACCTTCTTCCAGAGTGTGTATGTGCCTTCCCCTCCTCTTCCCCTAAATCATGCATCCCGTCCCTGTTGGACCCTTCACTCGCATGCGCTCTCTCTGGGTGGACAGTGCTGCATCATGCCTGGGCGCACCAAGGAATGATGCCCCCTGAATTCAGTGGCCACGTCCACCAGTCTGTGTCCTTTGTTTCAGCGCTGCGGCTTCATCTCCTGACGCTCTCTCCTTTTCCCTTCTGCCCCCCACATCTCCGTTTGGACACCAGCCAGAACTAACTTGCGACTTGTTCCCCCTTCCCAGCCGCCAAGGGTTTGGCAGAGGCAATAACAACAAGAACAACAACAACAATAACAACAACAATCCCGCAAAGATGAACAATGGAAGTCCGGCTCCGTCGCCGGCGTCTCAGATGCCTCCCGCCGGCCATGTGCCCAACTCGCCGTCCCTCACCTCGAGTCTCTCCGTGGACACCTCCGCCACCTACGACCCCGATGCCCCCAAGTACTTCTTCCAGGAGAAATACGCACCCCTCAATGTAAAGGGCAACTTCTTGACCTTGTGTGCCTGTCCCAAGAACGTGGAGCTGGGTGAATGGCTGGCCCATCAGAGTAAGCGGACTTGCTGCCTCCTCCGCTCGGAGAACCCCCCGCGCTGATCGCTTACTCCACACAGTCGTTGAACAATATCGCTTGCTCCATGGCATGCTCCAGGTTATCCAGGAGGTCAATAGCCTTACAGGACTGCCGATCTGTAACGAGAACACCTGCCCCACCATGTCGGCTGGTCGGTAAGTTGCTTTTTCTCCCGCGCTTAGAATTCGGAAATCGGTCTAACATGGACATTGCCGGATAGCTTGACCTACACCTGGCTGGTTGACGGTCGTGCCGCCAAGATCTCGGCCCCCAAGTTCATCAACCGTGTTGAGAAATGGATTGTCAGCAAGATTCACGACCCGGTCATGTTCCCCACGGAAAAGGTTACCGGTGTACCAGACACCTTTGCAGTCAATGAAGCGGGCGGGCCCAGCGCTACTTCCGGGGAGGAGTGGATCGGCAAGTCCAGCGGCTTCCCGCAGACGTTCTACAAGGACTGCCAGGGCATCATGAAGCAGATGTTCCGATGCTACGCCCACTTGTACCACGCGCACTGGCTGAACCCCTTCTGGCACATCAACAAGCATGACATTCTCAACATGTGCTTTGTCCACTTTGTCACGGTGGCCAAATACTACAAGCTCGTGTCTGACAAGGAAATGGAGCCTATGCAACCCCTTATCGACCTGTTCATCAAGCAGCAGCGGATCCCTCCGGAGGCGCTGGCAGGTGGCCACTGGGGCCAGCAAGCCTCTAGCTGAGCTAGGGCGCAGCAGAATTCCCATTCTTCCTTCCTCAAGCAAGAAAGTGGTCCGACCTGGCGTTGGAACCCTTTGATCGGATTAGACGAACCGACTTGATCCTATGATCGCGGTTTCATGGTGTCTTGACTTTTGCAGGACGCCGCGTGGATTACGTGACACAGTGTTGGCGTTAAGCATTTAGCATGCGGTGTGAAATATGTTCTTCCTGTGATTTCCTGCATATCCAGTCGTGGGACCCCCCACCGACTACGCGATTCTTGTAGCCTAGATTAACCTTGCGCATCCTGGCTGGACGAGAGCATTTTGAGATTATTTACCTGGAACTAGCCTGACGTGGAGATGACACTGATCAGCCAAATTGAGATTATGAACAATTAGCATGAAGATAACGTAGGGCCCTTCTTCCGGGAGGACTAGATAGTTCAACTAGCATGGAGACAATTAGCGGCGTGACGTCTCTCATGCTTTGACCGTATTCAGTAGAGAGGGCTGAACGGACAGCAGGGATTGAATAGCCTGCAAGTTGCAACATTGCGACACTCTTGGCAGTAGGTGAGGTAGTTGGTAGCTGCACATATAGAAGATCCCGTATGCGACAGATGGATATCTTGCAAATATTGCGTTGTACCTTTCCTTGTCTCGAATTCATCACCCAGACGGAGGTTCATCACTACAGATAGACTCCCTCCTGATCCTGATCGTGATCTTGATTCCGGTCCTCATTCCCCGCAGCGGGGTTCCGCACCTCCTCCGTCCCTTCCACTGTTCCATTCCCATTTCCATTGGCATTCGCTTCCCCATTTGCCTTCTCCTTCTCCGGATCGTCCAGCTCAATCCATTTCTGTCCCCGGTTCTCCACCTCTGTCTTCAGTAGCTCGATCCTCTCCAGCATCGACACCGCGACGTCCTCGTTCTCCTTGATATAGACCTCGAGTTCTTGCTTTTCGGCTTCCGTGTCGCATGACTCGTTGATAAATGTCCTTAATTCCTGGTTGGAGCGGTGGAGGTGTGCCATGGAGTTGCGGATCTCGGAGACTTTCGCGTAGAGCACAGGGAGGGGAAGCTCTTTGATGGCCTCGGCGAAGGCGGCGGGGCTGATGGGAAGGGATTCGGCGGACATGGTTGCTTGCTTGCGTTGAGGTTTGATGCGTATATGTAAGATGAGATGAGGGGCTTGATAGATAGATAGAGGTAATTGAAAGATAGATGAAGATGGTTCTATAGCAATCCAGTAGTCATTCTTCTGGGAAGTTCAGTTGAAGCTTATCGGAAAGGGAATGTGATGGTGTTATCTCCACGTGATGGGGCCACGTGCATGAGGCTATTCGGGGATGATGTTTCTTTTCTAGAACAAGACTAAGAAATCACTCAGTTCGCAGTGACCTCAATTGAACTGAGATTGTAGGTGGCTTTCCCATTGCACCATGTTTTCCATGCACACATAACCCAGTGGACTACTAGCTCTACCAACCATCAAGTATACTGCTTAGTCTCACTGCGGAACAATTCTCTCGGCAGACGGAGAAAATCCGGCTCTCTCCGCACTCCATCGAATCCACCACCACCAACAATCAACATCATCGTCCATTGTGACACGGGTTCCCAGACCCCCCGTTGCAGGAGATGAGCAATGCGTTGGGCGTAGCCTGGCGCATACCATGCGCGGGGCTCCGTGCCTCGAGCTGGCTTGCCCCATCAACATCAACATCACCTCTCCGCTCCTCCGCTTCTCTTCGTCTCTCCACCTCTACAGCCACCCTCCCATGGCAACCCGATAGCATCGCCAGGCGCCTTTTAAGCTCCTGGTCAAGCCAATCCTCATCCCTCTCTAGACAACCAACCACTCCCTCCTCATCCCTCATTCCCATCCGCTCCCTCCACAGTACCCACCCTCTCCGCGCCAACCACCCAACATCTCCAGATCAATCCCAAGAACAAGGCGCCCATCCCCGCTCAACACCCTTCACGACCACCGAACTCAAAACTATCTTCGGCCCACGTACCAAACTTCCCCCAGCCCTTGCGAACCGCGTCCTCGCCGTCCTCCACGGCCGCCGTCTCCTCGGCACCCTGGACCTAAACCTCCCCGCTGATATCGTCCGCTCCGTGCACCCGCGCAGTCTCGAGCTAGCACTCAAGTACCTCCGCGCGAACTACCCGGTTGACGAAGATGCCGCGATCCTGGCCCGCGTGGAGCGCGAAATGGACGAGGAGGAAGCGAGAAATGTACAGCGGTACATGCCGCAGGGTGGTGAGTATGGCGCCGATGTGAATGGGGGCGCAAGTGCGTCACATAATCCGTCGGGAAAGAGTGTGTTGGAGGAAGTCCGGACGCAGAATGAAGCGTACTTGCTGGCCGAGCAGGAGAGGAAACGACAGGAGTGGTTGTCCCGCGGCATGCAGCATGATGAGAGGGTTAGGCGCTCATTGGAGAAGAATAGTCTTGCTCTGAGGGATGTGGATGAGAAGACTGCGCTGGAGATTGCGCCGAAAGGTACGCTTTAATGGTGGATTTGGTTTATTGTTGGTGACTGACAATCTCTTTTGCGTGCAGACCGACAACTTGCGGACCCTAAGCAGCGTCCTGTTCTCGCTTGGGTGCAGAAGAATTACATGGCTGCGGAGGACTTGGACTTTGATCTAAACAAGCTCACCCTGGTAGGTCCTTTCTGAATCATCTTGCATGTTATTTCCTTGGCTAATCCATAAACAGCGTCAACGGCTTCTCCCCTCACTTGCGTTCGTGCTCCTAACCCTGGGTCTCTGCTACGCCTACACAATGTATTACGAACCGCCCGCAACCTCCGACAGACTATGGCCCAATATTCCTCGCTCAGCTGCAACGGTCGGCACCATCATCGGTATCAATACTGCTATCTTCGCGCTCTGGTGGTTCCCTCCGTGCTGGAGACTCTTCAACCGTTACTTGATCAGCATTCCTGCCAACCCTAATCCTCCCGTGAGACTCCTCGGCAACATCTTCAGCCATCAGTACCCTAAACATCTGATCTCGAATATGCTGTTCCTATGGTTCATTGGAACGAAGTGTGAGTTTCTCTCTCATATCCTTGCTTTAATATTCTCAAACCCAAAACTGACCTGTGTGTGACTGCTCACAGTGCACGATGAAATCGGCCGCGGAGAGTTCCTATCTCTCTACATCGCCTCTGGAGTTGTCGGCTCGTTCGTCACCCTCACGGCTCACTGTCTCATGGCTCAATGGACTGTGAGCGCGCTCGGTGCCAGTGGTGCCCTCTCTGGCGTTGTGGCAGCTTACTGCACGTTGAATGCCAAGTACGTACCCCATCCTTTCCTCCTCTCATCTTGAATCTCAACTAATAACACCCTGCAGCGAAAACTTGCAATTCTTTTTCCTCCCGGAAGAATGGAAGAAGATGCTTTCCGTCCCTGGATGGACCATCATTACCACTATGGTTGCTCTGGAGTCAATCTCATTGGTCCGCCGACTACGGGGTCCTCATAAGCTCGATCACTGGGCCCATATGGGTGGCTACTTGACGGGTATTTCCTGGGCTTTGTGTCGGCCAAAGACGGAGCGGAAACATCCTGAGAGTGGGACTACTTGGTATCGCTGGCTGTCTTCGAAGAATTAGGACCTTGCCTGGTGTTGTTGGCTACGGATAACTGGTAGCTGTGTATTTATAGTTTCGCATTCTAGAAGGTTAGATTGTATGAATATCTTCTCTATCTAGGGGTTTGGGCCATGTCGTAAATCTGGGGACGCATTTATTTTCGGGATGTTGCCTGGTTCTTGCTCCTGTTTTCTCTGTATGTATACTATTCAAGGCAAGGACAGGAGTTAGATGGGCAAACACATCATACAGATAAAGGATACTCCGGTAACCACCTTCTTGAATCTTCATCCTCTCCTGCGCTAACGAGATATCTGGTTTCGTGGGATGTGTCAATGGGTATCTCTCTGGCATCATGGTACTTCCCGGCGCATCGCCACGACAATATGGTTAGAGCCACACATAGACTGCATATGGAACAAGTCGAGTGGAGATTGTCTGAAGTTATCAGCTTCTCACTGGCAAGTTTGTCTGTCTATAAATCAAACATACTTCCTTTCCCACGCGCGTACGCATGGCACGTCTCCTGTGCCGACGCGCACGTCCCACATATAATTTCAAGTTCATGCAGTTGCTATATCCATACTTGTATATGCAAGTTGTAGAACGCATCAGTATGTAGGGTCCTCTTCATTTTTCCTTCTTGAGGTGCCCTGGCGAAGACCCATTTCTCTCCAGTCACTGGCCTAGCCCAGCGTGTCAGTGAATGGCACCTCGCTCACGTCCCAAGTTCACTTCTCACAGAAGAACCTTTATCTGCTCAACATTATTCCTTCCTCAAGAGATCCTGATATTTCCAATCCACGCCGTTCTACATCATCTTCGTTGTCGCCTCGATTCACTGGTTCTCTTTCAATTTACATCTCCTCAACCCTCTCTTCCTCTACATTGATCCTTCACGGTCCGTTGCTTCAGCACACGCTCGTCCCTTTGCACCCGAGACACGGTTTACGCGTTGCTACTGCTTCGTGGTTATTGTATGAACAATCCTCGGGTGCTTTCAAATCCTGCCTGTTTTTGTCACCATGCCAGGCCAGGTCCTCGTAAGGTCCGAGGTCGAGCCCCTCTCCCTCATCCCAAAACTCGTGAAGAGCTGCAAAGGCGCTATATTGGATCCACAGGAGCTCGAAAATTTCACCTTTTCCCTTCAAGGATTGGAAGAATGCCATACCACTAATGAGGGGTTGGATCACGTTTCGAGAGTGGCCAAGGCAGCCCTAATTGAACCTCCCATGCATGATGTTGAGTGTTTCGAGACAACGTGGGCAACAGACTCCATTGCTTTCTCTGCCGAAGAAAGCGCTGATGTCGATGAACTCTCTGATGTCGACGAATGTCCGACAAGCGAACCCCCAGCGTATATTCTGACATGGTTTGGGTTGAACAAGATTGACTATCACTTGTACCTCGCTCACAATGAGAGAGGCATGGACGATAATACGAGACGCAACAGCATGTTTATGTTTGATGGCGATGAGTGCCGTCCTTGTCTTTACAGTCAGCTATCTGATCTGCAAACTTATTATCCAAACGGTGTCGGTAAAGATAAAGACCCTATTATGCTGATCAATTGCTTGCCTGTACGTGGTAATCCTGCTGTTCCCGCTGACAAGGCCTATATCTTGGGTTTTGATTTTGACAGCGGGAATCTCTTCGTCCGCCAATTTGCCTGGTTACCAGAATACTTCGACGACGTCTGGTGCGTCTGGAACGAGGGCTTTAACCGGTACGAAGTGCAAATAAAAGCCTTGCGTGATACCCTCAGGCAATGCATTGACGAATGTGAGCTGGATCCGGGCGTGGGTATTCTTAGCAAGGGCAAATACGTTGTGGACAACTGGGAGGGTGTGGGAGTCAGCGAAGATCCCGGCATGGAGCTGGTGATTGTCATCAACTTCTGTTTGTGGGTTGTGGATATGGCAGAGCCGATGATCTTGCCCTCTGTTCCTGGATCTGAGTCGCTCGTTGGAGATTTCCAGAGGTACGAGGAGGAGTGCCGCAGAATCTTGGCCTGCGCCTCAGCTAGATTCTGGAAGCGTGTCCAGAAAGGCTATACGGAAGAGCAAGAAAGATGCGAGAAAGCCAGGAGCCGCTACATCGATGACTTGATGACCCTTCACGTGCCTGAAGCACATGAGATTGAGAACGTCAAAAGATGTGCGCCCAGTCTGGATACTGCCAGCAAGCTTCGCCAGCAGTATCAAGATGGGCGAAGGGAATGTCACGAGCAAGGCTTGCAGGACGTGTTTACCCTTCCAAAGAATGCCAGTTTCTCCAAGTCTCCTGAATCTACTTTCAGAGATATAGTTGAGAGATCGAAACAGGCATTGGCGTCAAGCATGCTGTCCTCTCCTCCTAAGGCTCCGCAGGCTAACTCACGTCGCTTCGCTCAGGCTCAATCGCATAGTGACTGGATTGCTACAGCATCGGGGCATAGCACTTCCTCAAGTGAAGAGGATAGCTTCTCTGACGCCTCTGAGTCACGCAAATCACCCGTTCCAGTGTTATTGAGGCGGATGTCTGACCTTTCGCAGGCACATCCAGAACTTGACAATGTCAGTATTCGCGAACAGTTGGAGACGATTCTTTCCGAGATGAAACTGACTACGGGGTAAGGCCCTGTGGAGAAAGGGGATGCAGCTCAGGCTTATGGCCTGGGGAAAAGGAAGTTGGAGTTTGCATGCTGGTAAAGGACAATATCCCCAGTCCAGATCTTGATTAACATGATGGATTTAAATGCATGGCGCTCTGTGGAGTGCGTTGGAAGTGAAGCACTCTGGATGTTTTGAGTCCGGAGCTGGTCTAAATGCGGATGTTTGGAGTCACTTTGAGGATGATCATCTGGTGGACCATTCTAGCGTTCTGTTGGAGTTTATGGCCGTTTCTTTGTATCCTTTGAGGTTGGTTGATGGATAATCAGTTCTCCTTCATCCTTGCGCAGGTTGGAGATGTCTGTACCTCTTTCTTAATAAGCTCTATCACATGCAAGCCTTACATCTGCGCCCTCATGCCATTGTAGTAAGACGTGGACCTTTTCATCATATCATAATTGACTGGGATTAAGTGTCTCTTAATTTCATCAATATCAAGATCTCCAGTTGAAGCCACAGACTGCGAGGAGGCTGGGTGATCTTCGGGACTCCTAAGGCAAAGATGCTAATTAGTGTAGCAGTAATGATAGTATGAGCAACATATACAGCAGCTTCCGTTTCATTGGTACTAAATCTACGAAGAATTCCACGAGAGCGGGACAGACGATACACAGCATCACGTGGGTGCATATACTTCAATCGCCTGCATCAGGAAGGCACGGCACTGACTATTTTCATGCATAAAGCATCTACTTCGGTTACTTACTTCTCGACAAGACATCTGTCATTCCTCTGGGCAGACATCATCCTTAGTTCCCTAGATAGTGCTTGATGTTGATAACCACTAATTAGTCATTGTATGTCACATAAAGTAGCCATAGCAGAATAGCCATGTGCAGGAATTGGATGAGACACAGACATACATGTCCTGTAATGAAACAAACACGTTGGAACTGAACTGAATCATTACGATCCACCGCCAAGTATTCTCAGCTAGGCAGCCACAGCGATGCTGCACCGCCGCCTACCAATCGGGGTTAGCCGCAAAGGCAGGTGTGGCTTGAGAGTGGCTCTGCAGTGGGACAGCCGGCCATGGATCGCCCCACCGGGTTTGCCGGCAGGAGGCCATTGGCCCAGGTGGGAAGGTTAAGCGCCCCGCTATCTCTGGGCAGTCATCACCAGCTCTTCGCTCCTGTCCAATCAATTGACAGCTCATAAGATGAGCCAAGGAAACAAACGATCAGCGGTAATCCTGGACGCGATTTGGGAATTATCATTTTCAGGGAGAATCGTGTACATCGTGTACTTACCGTGTACCATTTAGCCGACATCCATGGTAGTGCCTGACCCAGCTTCGTAAGGTATCTAACTCCTTCTCCTCCCTAATGGGGCCCTATAGTTGGATACTTTCGTACTTACTATACAGAGTACATCCCTACCCGGTCTTGGTCGCAGAGCCAAGCTGACCCCCTGAGAACTGCTGCCAAGATCGCTAATCTGTCGGAGAATTGGGGGTCCGCGCAGTCTGCAAAGGAGTCCGCATTAGAAATCTTCCCTTTATGAAGAGTCCACGGTGATTGGAGGATTGAGATCTACTGTGCATTTCAATTTTTGGCGAGAGTCCCTGAGGGCACAAGTGCCACTAAGTACTTACCTACCTACTAAATACTACTAGATTGATAGGTACCCGTCACTAATAGTCCGCCCCCGTGTAACTTCACCCTGCACACTCTCGAGGTACATGCAGGCAAAGCAAAACAGCCTTGTGCCCGTCCTTCCCTTTCATTCATCCCACCCACCCTCCTCTCTCTCTCGCTTTCTCTCTCTCTCTTTCCGTCATTCTCTCTCGGTCTTCCCTTCTCAGCCCTGCAGCCCTACTGGGTAACTCCGCTGCCATCCCCTCCCTTCTACTTTGGACCTGTACCCGATTCCATTCCGGTTGTCGTGCGACCGTCGCTTGACTCGCTTCCATATTCTTGGAGCCTGCCATACGAGGTCTTAATTATTCCCTCTCTCTCTCTCTCTCACTCTCTCTCTCTCTTACGCTTGGTCCCTCACCTAGCTGCATCTTATATTTTCGGAAAGTCAGCTGGCAGTTCCTCGGCCTTACGAAAACAAGCATTGGCTGTATTCTGTCGTTCCTTCCTTAACTTGACTTTCGGGCTCACTCCTTCCTTCCCCTTCCAAACAATCTCTCTCAACCCGCGCCCTGCCCTTCCTTCCTTCCTTATTCATTCTTGTCCTCTTGGCTGTTTTCTTGATACCCTGTGCCTGTCTTTTTTTCTTTTCTCTTTCCTGCTTTGCAATAATTACTACCACTTCCATATCGTCTGCCATTTCCTGTTCTGCTCCGTTTCCGATAATTCCGGTAATTTTGGTATTCTACATATACTCCAACTTCAACCTCTACTTCTACTTCGACTACTACTGCCAACACTAATCGAATCCTCCCGGCATGGCTCTTCCCGGTAAGCTGCCGTCTTGCAACCCCTTGACGCTTCAATCCAGGCTTCATTGCCCACGGTACTCGGGATCTTGTAGCTGACATCATCAGACCATGCCCCTGTCGCGACCATGAATGGCCATGCGTCCGACCTCAATGCCCAGGTGGACGTAATCTGCGGCCCTCTGATCAATTTTAAGAATATGGTTGTCAATCCATCTTCGTCCACTTGGCGTGGGAGCGTCTTGATCGTTACCAAGCCGGGTCAGAGCCAGCCACGGCTGCTTTTACGCCAGGTCGGCCCCATTGGAGCCAGCTACGCCGGCAATGGTGCTCGAGCAGGCGACTCCGCGGTGACCGTGCATGGTGTCCGTCTGTATGAAGATCCCCAGAAAGCATTCTGGCGTTTCTCCCTCTCGTTCGCTCTGGAATCATATGAAGCGCGCTGGGAATACGCGATTCCAGGGTTCACATATGTAGAGGGCGACAAAGCACCTCCGTCATGGGACTTTGTGGTTCCTTCTGTAAACCAGTCAATGCGTATGATGTTCCATTCGTGTAACGGCTTCTCGGTCGGCACGGACATGAACGCATGGGTTGGGCCTAACCTCTGGAATGATGTCTTGCGCGTGCACGCCCAGAAACCCTTCCACGTCATGATCGGGGGTGGCGATCAACTCTACAACGATGGCATCCGTGTGGATGGACCGCTTAAGGAATGGACTTCCATCTCCAATCCTCATACAAGACGTGCCCACAACTTCGACAACAGCCTGCGTGCCAGGTGTGACGAATACTACTACGCAAACTATGTCCGATGGTACTCTACCCAGCCATTCAAGGGTGCCAACGGGCGGATTCCCCAAATCAACATCTGGGACGACCATGATATCATTGACGGCTTCGGCTCGTACACTGACCATTTCATGCGCTGCTCCGTCTTTCGAGGTATTGGTGGTGTTGCCTTCAAGTATTACTGCCTCTTCCAGCATCACATCGCCCCGCCAAAGTCGACCTACACCACCGACGCCCCTCAAACAATGCACGCCGTCAACGGCACCGCCGGCGCGGATCCGCGACAGCTGGAGAACACTTTTGTCCTGGACGAACAGCAGGAAGATGACAGCTGGATCATCGGTAAGCGTCCAGGACCTTACGTGGAGGAAAGGAGCAGGAACCTGTACATGCGTCTCGGCAAGCGGATTGCCTTCATTGGCGTTGATGCGCGCACCGAGCGCACTCGTCACCAGGTGAACTACCCAGACACGTATGACCTTATCTTCTCTCGGCTCCAGAGCGAAGTGGCGGCGGCCAACGGAGATATCAAACACCTGGTCGTGCTTCTGGGTGTCCCGATTGCGTATCCCCGCCTTGCATGGCTGGAGAACATCTTGAGTTCGCCCATTATTGCCCCGATTCGTCTGCTGAACAAGCGGTTTGGTTTCGCAGGAGGTCTGTTCAACCAGTTTGATGGCCAGGTGGATTTGTTGGATGACCTAGACGATCATTACACGGCCCGCCAACACAAGAAAGAACGGCGGGTCTTCATCCAGCGTCTGCAGGACTTTGCCAAGGCCCATTCAGTACGTGTGACGATTCTGGGTGGTGATGTGCACTTGGCGGCCATCGGAAGATTCTATTCGAATCCCAGTCTTCGCATTCACAGTGAGAATGATCCGCGGTACATGGTCAATGTCATTAGCAGTGCGATCACCAATAAGCCTCCGCCGAAGGCCGTCGCAAATCTCCTCGCGCGGCGGAACAAGCTCCATCACATGGATTCGTCTACCGACGAGACGCTGATGGACTTCTTTGACCGCCAGCCCGGTGGGCAGGAGAAGAGTGCCTCCTGGAATAAGGTGACGATGCCATCGCGAAACTATGCCTGTATCACGGAGATTGAGACGCCCGCATCTAATGGCAATGCCGCCGCGGCTCAGGACGAAATTACTTCGTTTCCCCTTCCCATGGACGGGCACTCTCCCCTCCACAAGGGCGAGAAGAACGCCGGCTCGAGTCACCCTGCCGCCGATGGGTTCAGTAGCAGCAGCGAGATGTGGGGAGGTCTGGACGTGGCCATCCGGGTGGAGATCAACCCCCAAGATCGGGAGGCAACAACTGATGGCTATGCCTTCAGCAGTAAGTTCCATGTATGCAGCTTCTTTGGCCTTCATTCACTGACTCGCGGCATAGTTCCCGCTTTGGCTTATGTGCCATCCGAAGCTGACTCTCGGCCCAATTCCCGCGCTCGCTCCCTGCGCCCTCGATCCCTTCGTCCGCCATCTCGCCAGTCAGCGCGTCGTCCCCAAAGCGCAGACTAATGGTGGACAGACCGCCGATTGTGACAGCTGTCTATATCCGTGCCGTCCGTTCGGTGCATGAATATCAGGTGAGGTTCAGTCCACGTTAGTTGCTTTGAATGCAGGTACCATTTTCTGGTCATGTAGGATATATCCATTTGCGTGTCATATACTTTTTCTGTTATTTGAATACCTAATGCAGTTGTCGTATTCATTGTTCTGAATGATCGATGCTTCTTCTTCTTTTCTTTAAGCTCCCAGGCAACCATCCACGATTCATATTTGTCAAACTTATCGTTGGCTTTTCAACTTGGCAGAGTGCTTAGTGTTCTCACCGATTCCATGTACATTGTTATAGGATCGGGCATGCTGCGAATAGCACGGTCATACTCCGGTTGGAAGATCGACATGGCTGGAACCGCATCCTTCTGATGTATGTACGGAAGTGCGTTGAACAAAGCGGGTAATGCGACAATGATGTATCTCCAAGGTTACACTCGAACAGCTACACGTGTTCTTCATCATAGAGTATAATTGGAATTGGTGGCGCCACTGAGAGTGACCGCAGACTCTGTCTCCAAATGTGCGACTTGTCACATCTGTCCAAGTCCGCACATTTGGGCCACCACCCCCAGCAGCCCTGCCAGCAACTATGTCTGCTGCCTTCTACGTATCGCATCCAGATTCAGTGTTGGCCTGGGGCCTGCATCGGTCAACCTACTCTGACTCGTATCTAATAGTCTTTCTGATATGCTTGCTCCGAGGCTGCGCGCCATGCTGACGCATGTCTCGGTCGCCATGCAAGGGCGCTCAGCCAGAGTGCAGCAACATGATTATTACCGCTTCCCACCAGTAACTTTCTAATCTCAACAAGAGGTCCATATAGTTATTGCCTGTTGTGTTACATAAGACAATGTCACCTCCTATTCAGGCCTGCAAGGGCGTGTGACCGATTCCGGGCTGTTCGTCCAGGGGCAGCGGGCACGAGCATGTATATCCCACAAACACTTACCACATCGTTTAGCTCGGTCATTGTATCCAACCACCTGAGTTGATTCTTGCGATGGATGCGACCAGAAATGTCGAACTGGCGGGGCCTGGCAGCCATGGGCAAAACAAAGTCGCACAGATATCCCAACTGGGAGAGAAACACGAGCAGGAGGGTCTCGAAGCATCGAGGTACAAGCCGCAATTGCGTCGTAACCGCTCGGTCTTCACTCTTCTTTTCCAGACATTAGCCATTGCGGCGATCCCCTTTGGAGAAGGAGGGCCTCTCCTCGATGCCATCTATGGCGGTGGCCCATTGTCCGTCTTCGTCGGCTGGATCGTCGTTTGCCTCTTATGCGAGTGTATCGCCCTCTCGCTTGCTGAGCTCGCGTCTCGATATCCCACCTCAGCTGGGCCCTACTACTGGTCCTACCGGGTTGCAGGACGCTCCAAAGCAGCTGTATCCTTCGTTACCTGTTGGGTCTGGCTGATTGGCAACTGGACCATCACTCTATCGGTCAACTTCGGGTTGGCATCGATAGTCTCGGCCTCGATCTCAATGTTCCATCCAGAATGGACAATTACTAGCTGGCAACTTCTGCTGATCTTATACGCCGTCTTGTTGGGAGCATTCTTCATCTGTACATTCGGTAACCGGTATCTACCTCAGGTGGACATGATCAGCGCAGCCTGGACGGTGCTGACAATTCTCGTCATCCTCATTGCGCTCTCTGTCAAGGCGGGTGCCGGCAGGCATAGTGCTGCCTACGCATTGGGTCACTACGACTCCAGCTTGTCGGGATGGTCGGGCTTCTCCTTCTTCATCGGGCTTCTCGCGCCTGCATACACGTTCTGTGCCATCGGCATGGTTTCCTCCATGGCAGAAGAATGCAACAAGCCAGCCGTGGAGGTACCATGGGCCCTCAGTCTCTGTGTCCCTGTGGGGGGTATAGCAGGTCTATTCTTCGTCCTTCCCATCTGCTTCACTCTCCCTCCTCTGGAAGATATAATCAATGCCCCTGTTGGCCAAGCTCTGCCATATATTTTCCATGTAGTCATGGACAGTCCCGGCGGCGGCCTTGGCCTCACTGTGCTTGTTTTAGTAGTCAATTTCTGCGCTAGCATCAGCATTACCGTCTGTGCTTCACGAGCCAGTTGGGCGATCGCTCGAGACGACGCTATCCCCCTCTCGCGACTATGGGCGCGTGTACACCCGGGCCTTGGCGTACCTGTCTGGTCCTTGACCTTTGGTACCATCATTCAGATGCTTCTAGGGCTCATTAACCTTGGCAGCAGCAGCGCCTTCACTGCCTTTGTCTCTGCGGGCGTCATTGCACTAGCAGCCTCGTACGCCATTCCCATTGCACTGAGCCTTCTGAACGGCCGTCGCGAGGTATCCCAAGCTCCATGGACCTGCGGTCCCATCCTTGGGCCAATCGTCAACGTCATCGCCTTGTGTTGGATTGCGTTCGAGTTGGTTATTTTTAGTATGCCAACCTCGTTGCCAGCCACTCGCGTTTCCATGAATTACGGCTCTGTTGTCGTTGTAGGGTTCATGGCTATCTCGGCATTCTGGTACGCTGTGTATGCGCGGAAATGTATGTCTCCTCCATTCCACTCCATACCACATGATTTTCTAGATAGTAGCTAACCATATAATAGCTTTCAAGGGTCCGCTGGCATCAATTGAGATGATGTGACTTTATGTTGATTCTAATGTCAGGTAACGAAATGTTTACGATTTCGGTATTTCTCAACGGTAGTCACGGTGTTTGCTCTGCTTCACGTCTTTACCAAAAGTACCCGATACTCTGAGTATATCTGATCCGTATAATTTAAGTCTGTCCCACACATGTATATGCGAAACCCTAACGCGAGGCGAATCCGATTCCATTCTGAATTCTAAAGCTTTGATATCAGCGTAGATTTAGTCTCCCGACTAGGCCGAATCGTAACTGGAAAATTAGCTTTTCGGGAAACCGCGGCATAATAGAGGGCCATTGTAGACCGCACATTAGTATTCGGGGGGTGAATATATCACCAGGTAGTGATTGTTATCATAAAATTCGTAGCTACTTTAGGTATTAGTATTGTGCCAGTTTCAACGTGATAGTTCTTCTGTTGGGTGTACATGAACAGATACTATATATATCCGCATGATGCGGTAGGGACAGCTCAAGTGAGGCTCAGAGAACAGACGAACACTACTGCATGACTAGTATCTGAATTTCGGCTAGTACAAAATAGTGCATGCTTCAATACTATGATGTACATCAATAACATGATTATTTTATTCTGCACTACGGAAAAGTAGGTTGAAAGGTCATGCAGTCAAGTTTTCAACTCCTTCCTTTCACCAATACAGTACCGATTACTGCTTATTCACAAGTAACAACTAATATGTACGTCTTTACTGCATCTTGCAGTACATCGTATTATTTAATATATATAATCCATGATAGCAGTAAGTAGTAGGTTGTGACCAGAGCAACGTGTGCGTGGATTGCCGCACAAGCATCAGGAAAGAGGGGATGATATGAAACGAACCCCCTAATAATTCGAATCGTCCTGACAATCCAAACTTCCAGAGAAATTTAGCATATCTCTACCGTAATCAATGCTATAGCCTCTACGGCGACGCGGGAGTCCCTCGTTGGGCATGCGACGCGGCGTGGATGGGGCGTTTTCGGATGGTTGTCGTCGACGCACAACCTGGTAGCCCTTGTCTATCTCGATTTCGATGACGCAGCGGACTTTTAATGCGCTGACGGCGGGCCAGACGCCTCGCTCTCCTTTGAGAGACCAGTATGCTAGACGGTCTTTGCTTGGGTTCTGGAAGAGCTTGGGGAGGTCCAGGAGGGAGACGTCGGGGACGAGGGTAAGATGGGGCCCAGGGATGGTCTCCTCGATGAGGAGCCGTGCAAGAGTTGCAGGAAGGAGGCCCATGTAGTCTAGTTGTCCGAGGCGGTGGTGAAGCTCGGCAGTAAAGAGACGCATTAGAGCTTGGGTGACGCTCCATTGGTCGGTTGGGCGACGGTCCAGTAGGTTCGAGTCCGAGCGTAAGAAAGGGATTAGGTATGGTCGGGCCTGCGACACGATGAAATGGTTGACATTGAATAGCTCGGCGATCCGGGCTAGCGGTGATTCTTCCTCTTTGTAGTGACCTTGACGCCAGGATTGATAAAATGTTGCGTCCCGAGAATGCGGCCAAGGTACAATCGAGCCTGTTTCGTCTTTACAGAATATTGTGACTGGCTGGTAAAGTGAGTTGTTGGATGCATTGGAAGCTACAGCAGCGGACCAGATCAACTGCAAGAGTAGTTAGATCACAGACGGTTCATTGATTGGGAGGAGCATGTGTGTTTCTCCACGTACCACATTCGGTGCAGTCAGGTAGTTCAGTAAGTTCGGGGTAGCGTTTCTATTTGATGTGGCAACAGTGATGTTGAGTATGCGCTTGGACCGGGCATATGCTTCTTCGAAAGTGAGGTCGCCGAGATTGGCGCGAACGCATTCCTCTAGCACCTCTGCATCAAGGAAGTAGCCTTTCTGAATGAATCGATTGACTCGCCGCAATAGTGTCCCCAGCCAACTGTCCCCGAGATTAGAAGGCAACCACCAACTCTCTTCTTCAGGCCTTTTCATCCGTCGTCTACGATCGAAGGCGCTCAGATCGATGGCGCCGCTGTCAAGAAAGGTGAGCAGCTCATCTTCGCTATGGATACCCACCAATGCTGCAATGAGCGCCCCCATCCCTGTCCCGGTGATGATCCTGGGCAGGAGGCCACGCAAATGGAGAGCCTTCACTACCCCGAGGTGGCAGAGTCCAAACATTGAACCGCCTTGTAACAGTAGGGTTGTTCTCCCAAAGGCTTGCCGAGTATCGTGCAAAAGTTCAAGCTTTGCTTGCGACGAGAACCCGCTGTCGTGAATCGGGGCAGTTTGAAGAGCCGTGACCTGTTGAATCGAGAGGGCAACTTGCGTAATATAGTCATCTATGAGTAGCTTGGTGCCGGCGTAGGCATGCAAAAACATCTTGGGAGAGGTAATGTTGCCCAGATTCCGAAGCAACCCGGAGCGAAGCAGGTTCGCTAAGGTCAGGATATCCTCATCCTCGCGAGCGCTCATAAGAGCCTCCAATCGACCCAGGATCAGTCGGTAGTCGTAATGCCGGCTTGTGGGATTCTGACGCCTAAACCGAGTGGTCAGATAAGAACAGGACTTTCGGGGTCTGTTTTGGATGTCGCAGCAGGGTTCGGCAAGAAGTGAATCTGCTCACCAGAGGTCCATGCTCAAGAGCTCGTCAAGCTCGAAAGCAGCCTCTTCCCATTCCTCAAAGGTGGACGCTGTCCTCAGAACATGTTGCAGTCGCTTCCGAGGAGACTTGGATCTCCACCAGGACAGTAATCGCTTAAGATGGAAAGCTGCGTTAGCTACCTGCCCAGCACCAACTAGCTCGTAGCTTTCATCCACGGCAGGCCGGGACTGCAGGGGACAACGTACTTCTTTCCAGAAGAAGGCAACGTCGAGTATCATGTTTAGAACAGCGACGAATAGTCCGCAGATGGTCGTCCAGGACCCCATTGCGACTGGAAAGAAACCGGGCTTTTTACTCTGCGGGGAATCAAAAACAGCGTTGGCACATGGCGAGGGGAAGCGACATTCACATGCTTGATGCGGTCAGCAGGGTCTGGACAAGCAGGAAAGCTACCAAGCATGTGCGGAGAGAGGAGAATGTCCCAAAACAAGCCTGGAATGACAAGGAAGTAATGCGCATGAAATAGATAACCTCATGGGTAGAATGAGAGGAGAGGGAGGAGAAAAGCGATGGGGGAAAGGCAGGCTGGAGAACAATGAAGAGGATGATGACATACAAGATGGGAATAGTCCAAAGAGCCTCCCCGCCAACTGCATTGGCATGCTGCTACTTGGACTATTCCGATCATTCTACTACGCAGCAAATCCATTCGCAGGGAATACGACTTAAAAAGTCGATGAACAAAAAAGAGGATATTTGGATTGCTCAGTAAAAGCCGACCGGTATTTTTTTGTCTACACACCACGCACACACACTCTCTCCCAACGGAGGTACAAGGAGTCATCCCGATCCGTAGACACGTCAAGGGGCATTTGAATTCCATGATTTTGGTTTTAAATTCCGCGTTGCTTCCCTATGCAAGTAGGCGAAAAAAAGAGATTCTCCAGGCATCCGTCACTACCCACCAAGGCGGACAACCACCGTTTACTCCTCGACAATGTTACCACGCTCCGACACGTACAGACCGTCAAGGAACTGTGCAAAATCATTCATGTCAGTAACGGTTTCGATATTTTCTCTCATGAGAAATCAAAGGGAGGCGGCATTCTTCTTACCTTACGGATATCCTTGTTGCGGACACGGCAGATCTGCTGGATGTCGGCAGCACTCTGGGAGACACCCTCCAGGGAGTTACCGGAGAGGACAAGCTCATCCTTGACGTTGGGAGAGGTGATGACCTCAACGCCAGGCTGGGCGGTCACACGGCGGACGTACTTCTCACCCAAGAAGTTTCTGTAAAACGCAATACCCATCAGCAAAATGTCTCCTCCCAATAACATGATAATTGACCAAGCACTGGTAGGTAGAAGCCAGAACCCAACCGGGAAAAGGAAAGAGAATAATCCTTTGGTTTGATCCCGGCTCATCCCCCAGTCTTCGATGCGTGTGCGAGTGAATTGATTTCGGCATACCTGATCTCAACGTCGTGCAGACCGGTCTCGGGGTTCTTCTCAATGTTGACGTTGATGGGAAAGTGAGCGTAGACGTAGCGCATCTTGTACTTGAAGCCCTTGGTGACACCGATGATCAGGTTGTTGATGAGGGTACGGACGGTACGAAGGGAAGCCATTCCCTTGCGGACACCGTGGTGCATCTCAATGGAGATGACATTCTTCTCGGGGCGGCCGAAGGTGACGGCAATGTGGGAGAGGTCCTTGACGAGCTTGCCTGTAAGAAGGGGAAAAAAGGACCCATGTTAGTGTCGCTGAATACAGGCGGGTGCGGCACATAGCTCGAGCCGTAGGTCACAACACGCCACGAGGAACAAAATGGTTGATATTGTCCCAAATGGCCGGGTCGTGGTGGATTGTTGGAAAATTTGCATACCTCGGGGTCCCTCAACGGTCACAATGCGCGAGCGAATGTGAACCTTCACTGTAGGAGGAAATTCGAATCAGTCCCATGTCCTTTTCTATCATATCACGCAAAATTCAATCGCAAGAATAGATCGCGGGGACAGGCATTCAGTGTAGCATCTCTCTTCTTTTATTCTCTCCCCCTAGCGATTGCCGGTTGTATCTGGCGCAGCGCTATCCTCAACCTCCTAAAAGTCCCCCAGAATCCTCGATGCCATGCCTGTCCCTCCGGCCAGATCCTCCTCCGCGTCCACCCAGCGAACAGAGCGACAAAGATCGGGGAATAATCGAATGCTCACCATTCTCGGGGATGGGCAGCCGTTCCTCGGAGTAAATGTACCGCATCTTGACTGCGTGGGCTGTGGTGTGTCCGCGAGGGAATTGTCGATATCGTCGAGCGGTCGGTCGTCAAAAGGATCGAAATTCGACAAGGCAAACCGCAGTCGAGGAGTGGTGGAGCGAAAATCACGGGTTGTGCGTCGCTTACGGCCCAATCCGGATTAGTCCTCTTGTCCGCCTAGGGCTGCCCGGTTTGGGTATAGTCCCGACCCGTCTTTTGGTTTCACTGACCAGAAAATCATAAGCATAATAATAGTGATTTGTGAAAATTAAATTAATGAAAATAATAAGAAAATGAATAATTTTACTCGTCTCTATCTCTTATAACTAGTCCTACAGTCGTTCACTTGTCCTATACCCGGCCAAATGAGAAGTGCTCTCTGCCTTTGCTCAATGCGTGGGGGCCCACGCATTATGGGCAACTGGCATGTCTCCAGGCTATACTCACATACTACACAAGTCACTCAGAATTTCTCTCCCATGAAAGATCGTGATATCGATTATTACTTGTATACTAGGTATAGAAAGATCGCCTGTTTACCCCCTACTATGTACTAAGAATACATAAACCCTTCACCCGCTAGATAATTATTTCCCGTATAATGTTGTACAAGCCCTTGGTGCTTGGAGTCCAATCCAGTCCATTGGGATGCCAATGGAGGAGACCATGGTTTCAGTGCCTGGCCTGCTGGTTCAAAAAACAGAAACCCCATTGCTTCTGTCAATCCGGCCATACTAGTCTCTGCTGCCTTCCGAGTGGCTTCACTCTTTACGATGGACCTCCTGGACCCACTTACCCCCCATGCTTCTCAATGTTGAAGCCAATTCGTCCTTTTGGTCCAGAGCCGTCACATCATCCCCTCCTCCAATGCTTTTCCCGTTGACCAACACATTCGGGACAGTGCGACGCCCGGTATTCTCTCCCAGCAACGCCTGCAGCGGCCGACCCAACTCATGCTTATCCAGCTCCACCACGAAAGGTGCAGGAACAATTGAGTATTTGTCCAAGAGGATAGACTTCGCCTTGGCGCTGTATGGGCAGTAAGACTTAGAAAATACAATGACTGGAGAAAAGCAGCACATAGGTTAGCAAATGTTCCCAAACGCAAAAAGGGAAGGTCTCCCGTAGTAGCAAAGGAAACAGGAAAGAATCCGTACTTGGTGCCCGCTTTAATATGCCATTCAGCTCGGCCACCGCAGCCGCATGATCATCTGTCTCCGGCTTCTGTTCCTGCGGCTGTTCCGACGTCTCTTTCTCCGGATCGTTTCGGTTCTTGGGTACTGTCATCTTGGTTCTGCCCGCGATCGGGATCTCTTCTACATCGTCCGCGTCATTGTTGTTGGCCTTGGGGATGGCCGGTTCTTCCTTATCGTTGTCCATGGCAGGCTTCGTCTCTTCCTTGCTGGGATTCTGTTTGGGCTCGTCCTTGTGTGGCGGGATGTTGGCTGCGGTTCCCGCTTCCTTTGCCTGCTTTTGAGCCTCCATCGCCGCCACGGTTGATCGGTAGAATTGTTGATTCTGAACACTCCGGGCTTCACTCTATATGGGAAGTCATGCATCGCATCAGCCATTGTATCCTTGAACAATCGTATCATTACGATGTCATGGGGTATATTACCGAATAGTAGAAAGTCATGATGATTATGACCACCACGGCGATGGCCAAAAGCCGAATGCGCCGCTGCGAAAGCATCTTCGACAAAGGTGTGACACCACGTCCAAATCGGAACAAGGCAAGAAGAAACAGAAAGAAGGGGGTGACTCGGCGAGAAATATTGAAATCTCTCTCACGGTCGGAATACTGATTGCTATACGTCACAGGAATTCCGAGCCAATGGCAGCTATGCGCATGCGTTCGCGTGGTTTAAGAGTAGGCTGGTTGAGCCGACAGGTCATAGACGCAGCTCCAATTCCAAGAATAGCTGGACATTGGGCGAGGAGACAACCACGAAGCCTCTGCAAAGCTGGGGATATGGTGGCAAATAAGAATAATGAATATTGAGGATGGTATCTTCAAGGATAATACAATATATTAAACCCCCGAGACTAGCATGGAGGGGAAGTAGACGAGATGATGGGGGGAAATTTGGGGGGAGGTTTACTTTACGGGGGGGAGAAACAAGGCAAGGATTCCGATTCATGAGGAGAGGAAGTGGGGCAGAAACAAGCTGGTCGGGGTTGGCCCGCCCTTCATTTAGTTAGCCAGTCCTGTCAAGACCAACTAACTAGTAGTTACCTATCTATAGCTTAGATGACGTCTACATAGGTTCGCTAATTTACTCTTTCCCATCTCTTGCACGGACACAAACATTGATTATGCATTATATTAGCAGGTATCTCTATGTATGCTATGGTTGGGGTATGAAGCTAATAAAGGGATGGTATCATGATCCAAAGCACCAAAAACAAAGAAAAGAAAAAGAAAAAACAACAACAACAACAACAAGAACAAGGGCATCAAGTCTTGCTAGTGGCATGCACTAGCTAGACACATATGTGGAGGAACAACAGCCGTAGCAAAGCACCGCAGAACCTGCAGCGGTACGGCTGACCCATTCTAGACTCCATCCACTGAACGGGGATCTCCACCGGCTTCATCTTCCTCCTCTCTTTTTTACAAGCAACGGATTGCATGCACTGCATAACCTGCAGTTATCACGCTTGAACTGCAATGCCAGAGCGTGTTCCAACGGTAGCTCTGCGTTTACCTTGTACCACGATCATCCAATCTTCCCATTCCTTGGCAATCTCCATGAGCACATTGCCCATCACTGCCGCCGAGGCCATCAGCCCATGACCCTCTCCTTCCAGCACCCGAACCTCACACCGTCGCATCATTTGCCCCAGCCATCGGACATTGTCCACAGGGACACGGGTGTCACGGCTGCCATGGTGGATGACAACGTTGCGGGTGATATCCACATATCGGAAGCCAATGGGCTGACGACGTTCCAAGCAGACCAGCAAATCCACCGCCGGGTTTGCATTTGTAGTCGCTAGCTCCCATATCTTATGCGTAAGTCGGTTATCGTAATCGGTCTGGCGTTCCCGTTCTTGCGACGAGGCGAGTAAGGCCTGACTTGCTGTGGGGTCGGCCTTCGGATAACCCTCGGCAACGGAGAAATCAGAAGCCTTCAAACCCTCAAGGGCCTTCAGATCTGCCCCTTGCTGGGAGATCTTGGATGGGAGCCGTTGCGTCCCCTTGGCTTCGGCGCCGGTGGGACTGGAACTGTCCTTGAGCAGCGCTTTCCGTTTAGCCCGGCGCGGAGATTTGGGGAGGCTAGAGGTCAGGCTTGCACTGGTTGCAGTCATGAAGCTTGAATTGGCCACCTTGAGAATGGACGTCGGCAGGGCTCGGAGAATCCGCTGAGAATACGGGACAGCATTTGTGGGAACGGGAGCCTTTTGCGAGCCAATGCTAGACAGCTGAGAAGGTGGAATCCAGGGTGCTAACAAATGAATCCGGCCCCGGATATGCTGTGGGATCCGAAGCGCAGTAGCCAACGCGTAGATAGCACCCGCAGAGTGCGCCATAATTGAAAACTTGGTAACTTTGAGGTGGTTGCACACAATGGCAACATCATCTGGGATACGATCATCAGTGAGGACAAGGCAACAACCGAAATGGAAGATACTCACCAGGCCAACTGAGGGGAGTTCCCGCCTCGTCCACGTAGGGGCCGCTTTCCCCCACACCGGGGCGATCCAATGTAATGAGCCGCAGGCGCAACGATCGTGCCAGCTCATCGTAGAACGCCATCAGATACCTTGTGAGGCCCATGCCAAGACAGCAGAGTACCACATATCCCTTAGGGTCCCCAACCTCGGAGAACGCTATGGTACGGCCCGATGTGGGATGCGACACCTTCTGGGTAAGCTTTGGGGAAGATATGTAGTCGTAGACCGCAAGATCAATGGAATCGGCACTTGTGGGGCGTTCCTCCCCACTCGAGACACCAACAGGAGTAGCGGAACCGGACGGGGAGCGCTTATGGGTAAAAGCTGAGGTTGATTGTTCCAAAGGCCCTCTGTAGCGGGAAAGCTGGTCAAACCTGTCCAGAGACGGTGGCGGGTTACTGGTTGACTTCGAGGCCAGCGAGGAGCGGCTCTTGCCCGTCATGACTGCTGGGGCCGGCGCACTCTCGTCGAAGCCGCCATTCCTTTGGCGGTCGATCTGCCTAGGCTCCATCGTTTCGCTGCTGGCACTGGCATTCTGCGACTCCCGGGCAGATGTAACGGCGGGGGCAGGCTTAGAAGGCTTCTCCGGAGTATCATCTATTTCTAATTCGCTCTTGATCTTTTGCTGCTGATCTTTCAATTCTTGTATTCGCTTCGTTACCTGTTCGGCTTCGTTGCCCACGCCCGATATCGCACTGTCCACTTTCATCTCTCTGCTACTGGTTGAAGAGTACCGGCTATGGCGGGTGGATCTGCGGTGCTTTGGGCTGGAAGAAAAGCTATGGCGCAACGAGGACTCCCGAGCAGGAATAACACGTCCGCTGCCAATACCTCCTGGTGTACTCGGCGCACTATCGCGAGCGCTTTGCAACGAATGGCGTTCCTTACTAGAGGGTCTGCTGAATGTCGCTTCTCTGCTGGGCTCGGTGGCTGCACGCACTGGGCGTGTCTCCTCCACGACGTCAGCCATAGAACACAACGAACGTATACTAGCACGACTGCGCGGTATATTGTGTCGCAAACCGTCGTTGAAACTACACGTTTTGCGTAGCCGTTCGGTTTTCCTGTCCTTATCGCTGTAAAACTCTCGAGATGGCCTCTTGAGGAGGCCAAATTGATTTCTCAGGCTCTTTCTAGAGCCCGAAGATGCCACACTATTTGCTGTAGACACTCGGGGGCCTGGTTCCGTGGTGATGGTGCCAAAAGCAGTATCTTCATACGCTGCCTTAGATGACGTGTAAGAGCCCCTAGATGTCGGTCTTCCTGGAGACAAGGGCGGATCGAAAGTCGCTTTATGTTTGGGAGATGGAGGCGCCCGTGCCATGCGAATGATAGGAGGAGCCGCCGCATCATCTGGATGCAGAAAGGGAGTCTGCAACGCCTCCTCAGACGCTTGCCGCGTCCTGTTCCTCACTGAAAGGTCATGCTCGCTGGGTTGCCGTTGGTCAAGACAGGGAGATTGACCTGTGGGAATGTACACTGGCGCAGAAGGATTCGTCTCCGTATCGATGCGCGGGATGTTGTCGAAATGCGACTGGAGAGGCACTGAGATCGTTGAAAGCGACGAAATCAGAGAGGAGATGACTTCGGGAGACGCCGGGTCAACCGCTGTTGCTGACGGGTCACTGAGCTGCGTGCGCGAAGGGATGGACTTGTGATGTCGGGGAAGCGAAGGGGGGAGGTGAAAAGGGGCATCATCAGACTTTGACGCCAAAGGATCCTCGGCGCGATTCATGGTTGCCATTGACAGGGAATATGACGGTCTAGAAACGTTCCCCCGGGCCAGGATCAGGAGACAGTTACCGACGATATATGCGGTCGAGCGTAGTGCGCGCTTGCATGATCCAGTGAGAACGCAAGATAGCGTATGCAAGCTCGGTAGCTTAACGGCAAGAATCAATAGACTGCGGGCGCTTGGCGCATGTGCCACTTAGAATTCAGACTGGAAGATCCAGGGCGGCCCTATCGAGCCCCTGCGGTCTGCAAAAGCAAGCCCCCTTGCCGAACGGTGATTGTCTAGAAGCAACACCTTAACGAGGAGGGTGGGAGAGAGAGAGAGGGGGGGTGGGTTTGGAACTGCCGATCCGAGGGGGGGGCGACTGGAAGGTTGTTTTGGTTGGGAGTTAGTATAGCGCAATTGCGCGCGAAGAGAGAGGGAAGAGAAAAAGATTGGTGGCAAGGAGCGGCGGATAAGATAAAATATTATTTGCATTAAATCATAATAGGAAAAGGGGAAGAAGCTAAGTAGTAAGTGGAGGAAAAAGGAAGGACGGAGGTACGATCGATAAAAGGAAGCGTACGGAGTACCAAAAAAAGAAAAGTATCTAGTTTAGAGAATGGAGGGGCAAAAGGGAAAGCCAATGGATGGATGGATGGAAAGTGAAGAAGTTGAAGGAGAGGAAAGAAGGAGAGAAAAAGAGAGAAGAAGAGATCAATTCAATTGATTCCCCAAGCCACACACAGAAAGAAGCTGGCCATGAGGATAGATGCTTACTGCAATCTCTCCAAGCAGGACAGCTTCTTCTATCACCCTCACCTGATGATGGATGCTTCTGCGAGACGGCAGGCCAGGAACAAGGAGAGAGAGAGAGAGAGAGAGAGAGAAAAGATTAATTACTAGTGGACTCTCTCCAAAAGAAATTCAAGGGAGGATATCTGCCCTGTCATTTGCCTGACCGAGTCCCCGCCCGTGTTTTAGTGTCCCTGCAGGGCCTCCACTCCTCGATTCCAATTGAATGCGCCATTTCATCCTCCGCACAGTTCGCAGATCCAAATTTTATGGGTGTGTGTATACGAAAAGTATCTAGTCCAGCATTGGATAAATATGCCTGCTAGCCAGGGGTACATGACTGCCTCCTCAAGATTGGGATTAGCCTTTTGTTTCAAATTTCAGCATGGTAATTCTGTTGACTGGTTAGGATTTGACACTTGGATCTTTGTCACATAGGATATGATGATGTTTTTGTTGTTTAGTACTTGGTTGATGACGATAAATGTCCCACCTTGCTCACTTATACTTATCTGTGTTAGTTAACCCTTGGGTTAATTAGTATCTTGCTTTCGTTGTTAGCTTCATTTCTGTCCACGGAAGCGAATTCGCGAGAAGCTGGATGG